TAATTAAACTTATTGATTTGTGCTTTTGGAACAATGTTTGGAATAACTAGAACAATCTATATCGGTATCGGAATGCTTTATTTTCAAACAATGGGGTGCCAGGTCAAAAATATTTTTTTCATTTTTTGGACTTATAATTCAACTTACGGATTTGTCCTTTTAGAACAATGTTTGGAACAACTAGAACAATCTATTGCGGTATCAGAATATTCGATTTTCGAAAAGTGGGGTGCCAGCTCAAAAAATCACTTTTTTTGTTTTATTTGAAAGCCGTTTCGAATGAAGCAATATCACTTTGGAACAATGTGGTACAAAATCAGAACAATCTGGAACAACTTTCAAAATTATAAATTTCAAAAAGTGGGGTGCCAATTTCATACACTCGACAGACATATATTTAAATTTTGCTTAAAAGCGAAATAACGTTGGTGCAACCGGTTCTTAAACACTTGTGTTATTTAACAAAAATATATTGTTCCTAATTAGCACTCCGCGTACACTTCGGGGTTGTGACACGTATACTTCCGGCATTCACCATACTTGATGCAAAGACTTAGTATAACTTGGAGAACACGTCCCATTGCACTGTTCATCACCCCCTTTTTACGCTGCCTTGTACTGTGAAGTCTACTCTTGTGTGGAACAAACAATCTAATATTTAAAACTACAGTCTATGTGACATGAAAATCAATTAACATTTTATGGAATGAAAATGCTATGATGCACTTGAGAAAACACGGGAAATAATGGCCTTTAATTATCTTAAATAAAGTGACTTCTATAGTATTAATGAGTGAGGAAATGGTAAGGAAGAAACAGTAAAAAGAACAACGTGTAGCATAATATACACATGATACAAGCAACTCCCCCACGTTAATGACCGTCATTAATAGTATAGCAAAATTATAGCGAAGAAACGCGCACCTTACCGTAGACTGTAACGCGCGATCGATTATATTCGTTTAATGTTTCCAGTCTCTTTATGATAACAAGAAAAAGGTTACGGTCTCGCGTAACGTGCAATTCCCCGTTATATCGCGCTAGATAGAAAAGTGCGTGCGCTTCATCTCTCAAAACTCGCCTCAGAAAGCGAGATCGATTTCGAACAACGTGTTTCGGTGCATTGACTTCGCCAGCGGCAACGACCTCCAGTACCAAATGTGAGATGCGGAGTTCGTCAGTTGCATGCTCGGTCGCCTGGAAAATCCCTGCGCATCACGCATTAAGCACGAAATATAAATACTCCGCTGAAACGCTGCAGGGTCTGATCAACCATTTGTCTCCACACATTCGCGATAAATAATCGATATTCACTTGAGGTGCTAAACACAGTGCCGCTGAAGCATTGTCTGGGCTTATTTTTCATGCAGAGAAGTGTCGCACCGTCACGCGTAGTGCCCCCATGAAATTTCCGCGATCATAGATATGCAACTGCTTTCACTGAATATTTTTCTATGCACTCTGGGCGGCATATGGCGGCCTGTCAAGTGGACATCATGCTCCGCTAAGCTACTATACCACGCGTTCAGCTTCTACATAATAGCCTCGCAGTATTTATTGGTGCTGACCCAAATCATAAATCTCGTAATCATATTTGGCGACATCGATGAATTCCTTTTTAATTTCCTATCATGTTTGACTCTCATTGTCGTTTGTTTCAAAACCACAATCGCATTAATGCATCAAGATGCGATCATCGACCTGATACAGACGTTGTCGCAGGAACCGTGCAAGCCCCGGAACGCGGACGAAATGGCGATACAGACAAAATTCGACGAGTTTATTAGGTAGGTCATTTTATTAAGCGCACTCTTTAAATTTTTTCGGGTAAAACTTCTTTCGAAAAACTGTTTGATCACTGACTATAACACCATTATTAATAATCGTTACTTCAAACTTGCTTCAAATGAGATACACCGATTTGAATTTAGAGATAGATGTGAATTGCGAAATATGATATATTTAACAATTGCAAGTGTCACATTTATTTAACGATATAAATGAAAAACATATCCAACTCTAAATTCCAATCTGAAAATCATACTTGAAACAAGTCTCAGAAAACGATTATTCACTTAAATTCGTGTAGTTCGTTAACTCATATAGAATGAATTCTACACGGAAAAAACAATATGGTTGATCCATACAAAAATCTGGTTGTGCCAACCAGATTCAATAGTAAAATACGGAACGACTATTTATGTGGTTGCTGTAACCAAAGAGTGATGGCTGAGTTACTTATGTTGCAGCAGTAATAATACATGGTTAATACAAACGCGGCTCATAATGCGGCAACTACAAATGTATATTTATACACTCAGAACCAGTTTTCATATGTATACATCTCTAGCTGTGCGCATAGTAAATTACTTTTGTTTTCTAACATCGCTGCTTTGCAATATAGCATTGATTAATGCAACTATATCAATATTTAGCTTGTCTATGCAAAATGGCCCCCTTATTAATTTCTGGTTGCCACAACCAGATCACGCGCAACTTCATTGATGTAGTTGAAAGTAAGTAAGTCAAATCAGCCATACACATAACTATATAAATCATACAAAAGAAATATAGAATGATGCAGCTATTTGCTTACAACTAAATATTTTTTGTTAGGTGCACCACATCTCTTTTTTCCGTGTACATTTCGAATCGTCGAATGAATATTTTCATTTAAAATAGAAAAGTGAATATGTCATAGAAGCCGTCATAGAAACATTTTCATTCTAATCAATCGAAAGATTCAGTTATATTATGTCAAAGTTCATCCTAAACTTGAGTGAAACGTTAATTTTTAGATTTCATATGGCAATATCGCTTCTTTAAGTAAAAATATCGCTTCTTTAAATGACAATATCGTCATTTTTCACTCGTTTCGCGTAAAATTCTACTTAAAGACGTTCACACTTCATACTTTGGTTTCAATTATTTTATTTCAATTATTTATTCGATTTTAATTATCTTATTTCTCCCACGTTTTTTATTGACTCTCACTATTTTACTAACACTCACATTTCCAGGTCATGCACGATAAAATACGGGCTTATGGCAACCGGCTCCATCACGGGCGTCACCGTTAAATCAGTGATCGATATTATGAAAGGTTTCTTGCCTTACAGAGCGTGGGTGCCGTACGATTTGAGTTCATTTGTGCCTTTCATGATCACGTCCATTCAACAGATAGTGACATTGGTCTTCGCCACTATCATCAACGTCGGCATGGAAACTCTGATATGCGGCATGATTTTGCAAACATGCGCGCAAATTGAGATTTTCGAGGAACGTCTTCAAAAAATGATAAACAACAGAAGAGTCAGATCAGTCAATCAACAGAACAGCGGAGATCCTGAATGTTCCTCAACAGCTCCAACGAATCACCAAGAAGAGATAATATCCGCACACATACGTCATCATCTTATTATTTACGAGTTAGTTATATGTGTAACTATCTTTCTATATGTTCGTAATACGAACTTTTGTTCAATATTGAATTGTCTCATCCAAAGTGCATCGCAGGTACGCAAAAACAGTAAACAAGGTGTTCAGACTTGTACTCTTTGTTCAATTCCTCATAAGTTTAATCATCTTGTGTATGAGTGTGTATTACTTGTCGTATTACATTACGGATGTAGAAGCTTCGTCTATGGTAGTATACACTATTTGCATGTTTATACAAATTTATATTTATTGCTGGTCCGGAAACGAGGTCATACTTAAGGTAAGAGATTATTTGCGCTTTACTTTCTGTTCCAGCAGACACACTTTGTGAATTTCCGAGTCGTTATTTTTTTCACTTTTTACGTACTTTCAATACTTTTACTGTACCGCTTTTCAGCGCTTCACATTTAACTGTCTACTTTTTTCATATTCTGAACAACCAATTTGATATATTTCAATTATTTTTGTACACACTGCAGTTTTTATCTAAAGTAATAATACATTCTGACTATAAATTCTCATTCTGAAGAAGCTCTTCTATCGACACTTTAAATGGGAAAATTGCTAATTTAGTCGTGATACAACATAAGATCTTCAGTTCTATATAAACGAAAGCTGTCGTTATCAAGTGTTGGCTGGTTCAAGGCGAAGTAGAAGTGAAATTTCGATTAGTACTGAAAAATGAATGTAAAGCTGACGAAAGACTGACTCGACATTACTGTCAAATAATTATTTCCTTATTGCCATGTCGACAGAGTTCGAGTATAGGAAACGCAGTGTATCAGACAGATTGGTGTATGTTACCTACCAGCGAAAAGAAAGATCTACTGATGATTTTAAAACGTAGTACGATTCCTATCAAATTTACCAGCAGTTTCCTGATTACTCTATCTCTCGAGTCTTTCAGTGGCGTTAGTATTACTATGGCATGTGAGCTTCCTAATTTAGTACACAGCAGATCTCTGACTTTATATTTCCTTTACAGATTCTCAGAACATCGTACTCGGCATTCAACGTATTGCAACAGAATTCTTGAGATAGGAACAGTTGTAAAAAATTGGAAAATTACGAATGTATTTACCAATAATATTAACGATAATAACTTTGTAGTATATGTAAAATAATAGCGGCTGTGTAAACGTCGAAATTTCCACCTGCATATATTCATCTCAAACTTATTATTCTCTAAAAATTATCATACTGCATATCATCGTCATAACAACCTTTTTTTAATTATCATTAAAAATCTACGTGGTCACTTATAAAATAGTAGAGGATTTTTTTGTTTAGTTTGATCTAACAAATCATCGTACAAGCACACGACGGCAAAAATCACTGTCACAGCTTATCTGTCGCGTGTGTGATCATTTATCAATATTCTTAATTTATAACGAATTAATAACTGCATATTTTACGTGGTCGTTTGCGAAATGGGAGAGGAATTTTGTGTTCAGTTTAATGAATTCTACTTGCGCACAACGGGCCTATCATGAATTGTGAGACACACGGTATATTACACCTCTTACTACATTCTCACGCACCATTGAACGATAAAGACCGCTTTTGTGAGAGAAATAGATTTTAGCAAATCGAAATTGCTGGCGACATGACATGAAAATTCATAAACATTTCATCGTATGGGAACGCGGCGGCATGCTCGAATGCAAGGCACAGCGTTTCTCCAACGTTGTAAAAGCAACCTTTAAAATATTAATGAGCGACAATGAAGAAACGGTAAGAAGAACGCCATATAGTCTACAGACGATACAAGCAACGTCTCTTTGTTAATAACCGTCACTAATTGCATAGCATCACGAAATTACAGAGAAGGAATACTACGTATCGTAGATACGCGGTCGTTTATATTTGCTGACAATTTTCCGTATTTCTGCTATATGAAGGAACGCAATAACGCGCGCATCATTACATTGTGCTGAATAGAAAAGTACCAGAAGCGATATCTTTCGAAGAAAAGCTCATTAAATATTCCCGGTGCTATCTGAACGGCGCGTATGCGCCATTTTCCCTCGGTTATTTTACCTTAAGGGATAATAATGATGTAAAGACCTTCTATAATCCTATCTAAGACGCGATATACCTCATCTGATTTTGTGGTTTTCTATCCTTCGGACATCCACATCAGTGAATTGCTAAAATACGAACAATAAGCAGACGATCGTAGACGCAACGTCGCGAAAAATCAAACCGATTTCGACCATCGAGTTCATCGAACTTGCGATTCATTGAAGACTACGATCTTTGGTGTGAGACGCGGATACGGTTATGGTGTTAACTGCTTGCACGTTCAATTTTATGGAAAATTATCGCGTATCCTGTATTAGCTCAGTTTTCCTTACGACATGCGTGGCGTGTAATCGACTATTTATCTTCATTCGCAATAATTAATCGATATATAAGTAACATGATAGATATAGCGCCGCTGAAGTATTGATTGATTTATTTTACATGTGAAGAAGTGCTGCGACATTAGTGCACGATAATTCGATGAAATTTTAGCGATCACAAGTATGCAATTGCTTCCGTTGAATTTTTTGATATTCACCGTGAGCGGCATATGGAGGTCTGTCGAGTGGTTGTCGCGCTGCACTAAGCTACTGTACAACACATTCACTTTTTATACGATAGCCCCGTTATATTTCTGGGTGTTTAGCCAATTCATAAATCTCGTCCTCATAATCGATAATATGGAAGAATTTATTGTAAGTTTCTTCATATTTTTGAGCTACTTTGCTGTTTCTTGCAAAGCTGCGATCGCGATTATACGTCGAGGCGCGATCATCGACCTGGTGGAGACGTTGTCGCGGGCGCCGTGCAAGCCCCGGGACGCGGACGAAGTGGCGATACAAACGAAATTCGACGAATTAATTAGGTGGGTCATTTCAATCTACATGCATTTTTTAGATTAAGATTTTCCTCAAAAAGCAGAGTAAAGCTCATCGCGCTTTACGCTTCAATGACAATTATTTTCAAGTGACATTCAAGTGCTTTTATTTGCTTTCGTTACTTCATTGACAATCATATTTCGAGGTCGGGCACGAAACAATACGCGCTTTTGGCGATGGGTTCAGTCTCGACTTTCAACATTCAATCGGTACTGAACATCATGGATTGCATTTTACCTTGCCAAACGTGGACGCTGTACGACTTGAATTCGTACTACCTCTTCTTGATTACGGGCATTCAGGAGATCGTGCTGACTATGTGCTTCTCTACTGTCATTAACGTCGGCATGGCAACTTTGATCTTTGGGATGGTTTTGCAAACGTGCGCGCAACTTGAGATTTTCGAGAAACGTGTACACAAATTAATAATCAACAGAACAACCAAATTAGTCGGCAAAAAGAGCTCCCCAGACACCTCGACGATTCATAAGGAAGAGATGATATCTGGATACATATGTCATCATTTCATTATTTACAAGTTAGTCATACGTGTATCCTTTTATCCGTTTATGTGTTCATGGTACAAAATTTTGCCCAATATTAAAGTGACTTATCCAATGTGTATCGTAGGTATGCCAAAACATTAAACAACGCGTTCAATCAGGTACTCTTCGTTCAATTCTTCGTCAATACATACATCTTGTGTACGGTTGTGTATTACTTGGCATCTCATATTATGGATTCTCATTCTATATTCTTAATGCTATACACTATTTGCATGTTTATACAAATTTATATTTATTGTTGGGCCGGGAACAAGGTCATACTTAAGGTGAATGTTTACTTGCGTTTCACTTTCCGTTCCAGCGGACACATTTTCCGAATTCCCGTGTCGACATTTTTCTTCCTATTAGGCTCTTTTAATGTTTTTACATTACGACTATACAGCACTCAACATTTAACGTTTACTTTCTTTGTTTCTCGGACAATTATTTCGACATATTCCAATTACATTTATATACCACATTTTCTAAAGTAGGAAAATAAATTTTATCTTCAAATTTTAATTTTGAAGAAACATTTCTGTTGAAACTCCATATGGAAAATTGCTAGGTACTTATTCGAGATAACGTAGGATCTCGAATCTTGCATAAACGAAAGCTATCGTTATCTTTTAAAATCTGTAAATACTTGTGGATTCAAATAGTAGGAGCGAAAGTAGGAGCAAATTTTGATTTGTGTTGGAAACTCAATGTGAAGTTGACGACAAGTTGACATAACGTTTTTGTTAAGTACTTATTTACTGTCATGTCGACAGAGTGCGAGTCTAGGAAATGCAGTCTATCAGATAAATTGGTATATGTTATCCAACAGCGAAAAGAAAAATCTACTGATGATTATGAAACGTAGTACGATTCCTATCAAATTTATCAGCAGTTTCCTAATAATTCTGTCTCTTGATGCCTTTATTGGCGTTAGTATTATTATGATATGCGAGCTTTCTAATTCTAATTCAATATACGAACGATCTCTTACATTATACTTTTTTTACAGATTCTCAAAACATATTCTGCGTTCAATATGTTGCAACAGAAAACTTGAAACAGTTGAGAATAACGTGAAAATGTATTTGATTATAATAATGATAACCTTGTAGTATATGTAAAATAATAGTGACTGTGTAAACGTTAAAATTTCTGTCTGCGTATTCATCTCAATATTTTTATTCTCCATCCGAAAAGTGTCGTTGTAATTGTTGATATTGCGTAAGAGACCGAACGCGGCATAGTCGTAGGTGTCTGGCTCGATTACAAACAATGATTTGACTAAAAATAAAAAAGTCAATCCTGTAAAAATATGTTTTTCCATAACAGTAACCATGTATTGTTTTGACGCATAATACGCACTGTGTACGTGTACACTCCCTGTGTGTCTTCTACGATTGAAACGATTCGCTCCGTCATTCGTCTTACTCGACAAGAAGAAGCGTGTGGATTCACAATTTGAACGACAACTGGTTTTACTGTATATAAAATGTTTTACCTTTCTTAACGCACAGAATAGATAAGCTGTAATAGCAAACATATTGTATTGTATCCTATCCGGGAAATGGCGCCTTATCAAATATGTTCATGCTTATTTTATTATCAAGATCAAGTGCGATTCGAGATATCATTATGTGGGCACCAAAATTTTTTGTTTCTTGTAAGGTGTATGGCGCCATCTCTCGGAAATGAAACTCTTTTGGATCATGTTTCTCTTAAACGGTGTAGAGCGCCACTTTCATACTTATATAATATATTTGGAATCTACTCGCAATGAGCTATCAAAAAAACCAAAATTATAACCATTTTCAAACTTATAAAAGATGGGGTTAAATTTGGCCGCACTCTTTACCAGCAGTTTCCTGATAACTTTTTCTCGAATCTTTCAGTGGCATTAGGATTGCTATGATATGTGAGTTTCCTAATTTAATACACGACAGATCTCTGACTTTATACTTCCTTTACAGATTCTCAAAACATTGCATTCATCGTATTGCAACAGAATTCTTGACAGAGGAACAGTTGAAAGTAGCAGATGTATTCGTCAATAATAAAAACAGAGTTGGTAACGTTACTTTATAAAAGTATACTACGAGTAGGTAACTCGTTATCGTTACCGTTATTTTCTTTAAAATGTAACTCGTTACAGTTACCGTTATTTAAAAAGTAACGAATCGTTACTTTTTTAAATAAGACTAATTATGAGTTTGATAAGGGAAAATGGACGAGAAAAGGAGGAAGAGAGAGATTTATGTGAAAACAATAATAAATAAACATATCGCAAATAATAACAATCTCGTCAAAATGTTATGAATAAAATATCACGCAATACATTTATGAGAATCAGTAAGCTGTCACACATTTGACGTTTTTTCAGGGATTTACAACTAATTTTATATCTTATGCAAATTCTCACTTATGTGCATGCACCTGTGTGCATGTATCATTGTGTGTTATACCGTACCTGAGCGCGCGTACTTTAACCAATATAACTGATCAACTTTAATCGTTTATAATTTGAAAAGTATTATAGCCATTTTTGTATTAGGATTTTCTTATTCAAATTACTTCAGGAATCCGCCCTTAAGAGATAATGCGATAGTGACGGGACACCCTGTATATCTGAGATATATCTGATTATTGGATATCGCTCGTCGCATATTGCGTGTCGCGTCGTGCATCGCGCAGGTCTGTGAGACCATTAGTGATTAGCGATGAGCGATGTCCAATCAGAACTCTGCTTTAAGAAGAAATAAGAGCTCTCACTGGATATCGTTCATCACTCGTCGCTAATTACGTCCAGTGTACAAGGCCCAAGACATAAGCTTAAGATATAAGTACAGTGACTAATCACAGTCATGATTGCAATCTGCTAGATTGAGGATGGACTATGATTAGTCAATTTGCTTATTGCTACTGGCTTATGTATAGACCGAATTTAATAGATTTAAAACAAAAAAATAACTATTGGAGTAACAAATTAATCGTTACCGTTACTGGATAAATGTAACTACGTTACAGTTACCGTTCAGAAAAAGTAACGCCGTTAACGTTATAGTTACCGAAAAAAAGTAACTGTAACGGTAACGACGTTACAAATAACTCGTTATTTCCCAACCCTGAATAAGAATGATAATAACTTTGTAGTATATGTAAAATAATAATAGTTATGTAGACGCTGAAATTTCCACCTGCGTATATTCATCTCAAACTTATTATTCTCCACACATTATCATACTGCATATTATCGTCATAACAACTTTCTTCTAATTATCATTAAAAGTCTACGTGGTTACTTGTAAAATAGTAGAGGATTTTTTTGTTCAGTTTAATCTAATATATAAGCACACGACGGCAAACATAGCTATCACAGCTTATCTGTCGCGTGTGATCATTTACCAATATTCTTTAATCAATAACTCCAGATTTTACGTGGTCGTTTGCAAAATGCTAAAGGGATTTTGTGTGCAAGAAGCACGTTATTCTTGGTGCTATAGTATATCTAAACGGCAGTATGCGCCGATTATTTTACATTTAGGAATAATAGAGATATAAAGATGATACTTTGATAATTCTAGCCAAGACGATAAGATACTTCATCTAATTTAGTGCTTTTTTCTCCTTCGGATATCTACATCGATCAACTGTTGAAATACGAACAATAAGCAGACGATCGTAGACGCGACGTCGCCAAAAATCAAAAGTGGAACCGATTTCGAACATTGAGTTCATCGACCTTGCGATTCGTTGAAGACTATGATCTTTAGTGCCACATGTGAGGTGCGGATGCGGTTATAGTGATAACTGCTTGTACGTTCAGTTTTATTGTGAAAATTATCGCGTATCCTGTATTAGTTTTCCTTGAGACATGCGTTGCGTGTAACCGACTATTTATCTTCATTCGCAATAGTTAATCGATATATAAGTGACAGACATAACGCCATTGAAGCATTGTATGAGTTATTTTACATGTAAAGAAGTGCTGTGACATTAGTGCACGATATTTCGACGAAATTTCCACAATCACAAGCATGGAATTGCTTTCATTGAATTTTTTCATATTCACCATAAGCGGCGGGTGGCGGCCTATCAAGTGGTCGTCGAGCAGCGCTAAGCTACTGTACTCCGCGTTTAGTTTCTACACAATAATCACGTTGTATCTCTTGGTGCTAGGCCAATTTATACATCTCGCCTTTGTCGATAATATGGACAAGTTCACTTTGGATTCTGTTCTATGTACAACCATCTTTACTGTTTGTTGCAAAATTACGATCATTGTGATACGTCGAGGCGCGATCATTGACCTGATACAAACGTTGTCGCGGAAGCCATGCAAGCCCCGGGATGCGGACGAGGTGGCGATACAAACGAAATTCGACGAGTTCACCAAGTAGGTCGTTTCAATCTATATATTCTAAATTTTTAGACTAACATTTCCCTCAAAAAGCAGAGTAAAGCGCAACGCGTTTTACGCTTTCCACAATTATTTTATTGACATCCAAATGTTTATATTGACTCTTATTACTTCATTGACAATCATATTTTGAGGTCGTGCACGAAAAAGTACGCGCTACTGGCGATGGGTTCTTTCTCGACTTCCAATATTCAATCGGTGCTGAAAGTTATGGAGGGCATTTTACCTTACGAAATGTGGACACCGTACGACTTGAGTTTATTTTTGCCTAACCTGATCACGGGGATTCAGCAGATGATAACTATGTTCCTCGCCACTGTCATCAACGTCGCCACGGAGACTTTGATTTTCGGCATGTTATTGCAAACGTGTGCGCAACTTGAGATTTTCGAGAGACGTCTTCACAAATTGGTGGTCAACAAAACAGACAGATTAGTCGGCAAACATCACAAAAGTTTCCCAGACACTTCGACGAGTCATAAGGAAGAGATGATATCTGGACACATACGTCATCATCTCATTATTTACAAGTTAGTCATACGTGTAGCTATTCTTTCATGTGTTCGTGATACAAAATTTTGTCTGAACTGAAGTGATTTATCCAATGTGCACCGCAGGTACGCCGAAACATTAAACAGTGTGTTCAACCCGATACTCTTCGTTCAATTCTTCATCAGTATATACATCTTGTGTATGCTTGTGTATTACGTGGCATCTCATGTCAAAGATTCTCAATCTATATTCAACATGGTATACACTATTTGCATGTTTCTACAAATTTATATCTATTGTTGGTCCGGAAACGAGGTCATACTGAAGGTAAGAGGTTATTTGCGTATTTCACCTTTCGTTTCACCTTTCCAGCGAACACATTTTCCGAATTCCCGTGTTGACATTTTTCTTCCACTTAGACTCTTTTAATGCTTTTACATTACGACCATACAACACTTAACATTTAATGTCTACTTTCTTTGTTTCTCGGACAATTATTTCGACAAATTCCAATTACGTTTATATACCATATTTTCTGTCTAAAGTAGGAGAATAAATTTTATCTTTAAATTTTCATTTTGAAGAAACACTTCTGTTGAAACTCCATGTGGGATGAAATTGCTAAGTACTTATTCGTGAGAGAACGTTGTATCTCGAACTCGCATAAACGAAAGCTATCGTTATCTTTTAAAATCTGTAAACAGTTTGAATTCATACATGCAGATTCAAATAGGAGGAGCGAAAGTAGGAGGGAAATTTTGATTTGTGTTGGAAGCTGATTAAATTCAAATTTTACGACAGGCTGATTTAACGTTTCTGTCGAGTAATGATTTCGTTACTGTCATGTTGATAGAGTGCAACTACAGGAGACATGATCTATCAGACAAATTGGTTTATGTTATCCAACAGCGAGAAGAAAGATTTACTCATGATTATGAAACGTAGTACGATTCCTATCAAATTTACCAGCAGTTTCCTGATAACTCTGTCTCTTGAGGCTTTCAGTGGTGTTAGTATTATTATGATATACAAACTTTCTAATTCTAATTTAATATATGAGAGATCTCTTATTTTGTACTTCTTTTACAGATTCTCAAAACATCGTATTCTGCGTTCAACATGTTGCAACAGAGAACTTGAAACAATTGAGAATAACACGAGAATGTATTAGATGATAGTAATGATAACCTTGTAGTATATATAAAATAATAGTGACTGTGTAAATGTTAAAATTTCTGTCTGCGTATTCATCTCAATATTGTTATTCTCCTCCCGAAACGTGTCGTTGTAATTGGTGATATTACGTAAGAGGTCGAACGTGGGATAGCCACAAGTGCCCGGCTCGATTACCAAATACTATGATTTTAACTAAAGATAAAAAAGTTCATTCTGTAAAAACTCATTTCTCCACAACATTAACGATCTATGTACTGTTTTGACGCATAATACGTGCTGTGTGCGTACATACTCTGTGTGTGTCTTCTGCGGTTGAAACGATTTGCTCCGTCATTTGTTCTACTCGACAAGAAGAAGCGTGCAGATTCATAATTTGGAGGACATTCTTGTTGTATTGTATGCAGGGCGTCCCAGACTCTCCTCCGCATATTTTCTGGGAATGTAGAATGGCTTGAGATAAACATAAAAGTCCTATACCGTCTTGCAATATTTGCAATAATAACTGAGAAATTAACTGTAAAAGATTAAAGAAAAACACATGCTGAGTGGTTGAGAAAAGAGCGCTCGCGACCCAGTAATATAGCAGGCGGATGTCAGCACGTGGCGAATGGTAAATCAACGCGTCACTGTCTGCGACTATATCGCTGCACTTCTACATCTCGCCTCAGCGTGGTGCGGCAAGACGTAAGATCGCAGGGATATAAGCATAGGCACACGGAAAAGAAAAATTAACATTTCATTCGGTGAGAACACGGCAACATGTTCGGATGTAGGGGACGACGAAATTTTCACGAGTGCGGCGACTTGCCAGATTATAATAATCATGAGTAACGAGCGAAGGAACAGCGAGTGCAAGGAAATATGGTAAGAGAAGACAACAACGCGCATGACTTAAACCACCGATAATTAGCGAACGACGCGTGGGTTTCGCTAATAACTGCAATTAACTGAAATGAAATTACGAACTAAAATAGCCTGAACTATAGGATTACTATAGGAAAGTAGAGCGAGCGAATCTGCATGTAGTGTGAAAGCGATATGCGATTGAGCGCATTCGGTTACGAATTTGATTATCCTTACGATTTTTCACACACGTAACATGTATTGTCTTCGATATATAATTATATCGAATATTAAGAAAATATTAGATATCAGACTCGATAGTTTTAAAATGGAGGAAACTGTGCGAATATGCGAATGAATGTGCGAATATGCTTTTCATTTGCGTGCGTCTCATAGATATAAATCAGCGCTAAGAAAAATTATTACAAGCTGTCACAACATTATGTGCGCGATCCTCGTGTAATTGGATAAGAGCAACTTTTGTCACAGAAAAAAGAAAGAGAGAGAGAAAAAGAAAAAAAAACAGAGTTTTTTGTATGGTTTCGAACAGACTGGCAAAGCTTTTTAAAAATAATTTGACAAATATTGCTTATTCTTGCAATAATAAATTATCAGGAATGATTCGTGTGCATAAAGACAGATTGCCGAGTGTATGAAGTTGGCACCCCACTTTTGGAAATTTATAATTTTGAAAGTTGTTCCAAATTGTTCTGACTTTGTACCACATTGTTCCAAAGTGATATTGCTTCATTCGAAACGGTTTTCGAATAAAACAAAAAAAATGATTTTTTGAGCTGGCAACCCACTTTTCGAAAATCGAACATTCTGATAACGCAATAGATTGTTCTAGTTGTTTCAAACATTGTTCCAAAAGGACAAATCCGTAAGTTGAATTATTAATCCAAAAAATGAAAAGTGTTTTTGACCTGGCACCCCATTTTTTGAAAATAAAGCATTCCGATACCGATATAGATTGTTCTAGTTGTTCCAAACATTCCAAAAGCACAAATCAATAAGTTTAATTATAAGCCCGAAAAATTAAAAAAAAATTTTTTGACAGTCTATCGGATCAAGAGTAAACTTATACTATCTTTCTTATTCCAACCGAGATCTTTTTGTTCTGAGTTGTTCTAGGCTTAAGAATTATAGTTCTAGAGTATGAGACTCATAAGATCATTCGTTCTCCGAAAATTCGTAAAAAAATCGATTTGACAGTACTCGACGTCAAGAGTAAACACATGCTTCCTTTCTTGTTCCAACCGAGATCTTTTTGTTCTGAGTTGTTCTAGGCTTAAGAATTATAGTTCTAGAGTATGAGACTCATAAGATCATTCGTTCTCCGAAAATTCGTAAAAAAATCGATTTGACAGCACCCGACGTCAAGAGAAAACACATGCTTTAGTAACACAAGTTATTTTTGTGTTTCCACTTGATCACACACGGTAAAATTTTTAGTTAAGAATTCTAAAAAATTAGCGAATAATAGCGTGTGACATCCGAAGTGGAGTCCTGAGTGAAGCGATGTCTAGATTGCGTTAATTAGCTCCCCACGTGCCATTCTCCTCTAGCCTACCACCGTCTCTAACACAAAGTTACTCTTCTCGAATCGACTAATTTCACCGATTAAGTTATTCGTGATTATATACACGACGATTGATTAATTTTAATTATTAACTTGTCGATTATTTTAGTGAGAAAAAATTTCAATCAATTAATACTCGAAATTATGTGAGAGGCCAAGCACCTAAGAGACGTCTCTTAGGTCCAGTTGCACCAACATTATTTTGGCTTTAAGCGAGACTCAAACATGTGGATCTATCTTTCTTTCTAAACAAAGACAGACATATATTTAAATCTTAAATGCAAAATATATTTAAAGCTTAAAAGCGAATAACGTTGGTGCAACCGGCTCTTAAATACTTGTGTTATTTAACAAAAATATACTGTTCCTAATTAGCACTCCGCGTATACTTCGGCGTTGTGACACGTATACTTCCGGTATTCACCGTACTTGATGCAGAGACTTAGTATAACTTGGAGAACACGTCCCATTGTACTATGCATCACCACTTTGTTACGCTGCCTTGTACTGTGAAGTTTACTCTTGTGTGGAACAAACAATCTAATATTTGAAACTTACAGTCTAGGACATAAAAATCAATTAACATTTTATGGAATGAAAATGCTATGATGCACTCGAGAAAGCACGAGAAACAACAACCTTTAATTATCTTAAATAAAGTGACTTCTGTAGTATTAATGAGTGAGGAAATGGTAAGGAAGAAACAGTAAGAAGAGCAACGTGTAGCGTAATACACACATGATACAAGGAATTTCCCCACGTTAATGACCGTCATTAATAGTATAGCAAAATTATAGCGAAGAAACGCGCATTTTACTGTAGACTATAACGCGCGATCGATTATATTCGTTTAATGTTTTCGGTATCTTTGTGATAACAAGAAAAAGGTTACACTCTCGCGTTGACGTGCAATTCCCCGTTGCATCGCGCTAGATAGAAAAGTGCGTGCGCTTCATCTCTCAATACTCGCCTCAGAAAGCGAGATCGATTTCGAACAACGTGTTTCGGTGCATTGACTTCGCCAGCGGCAACGACGTCCAGTACCAAATGTGAGATGCGGAGTTCGCCGGTTGCATGCTCGGTCGCCTGAAAAATCCCTGCGCATTCCGCATTAAGCACGAAATATAAATACTCCGCTGAAACGCTGCCGCGTCTGATCAACCATTTGTCTCCACACATTCGCGATAAATAATCTACATATACTTGAGGTGCTAAACAGAAACCGCTGAAGTATTGTCTGGACTTATTTTACATGCAGAAAAGTGTCGCACCGTCGTGCGTGGTGTCCCCATGAAATTTCCGCGATTATAGATATGCAACTGCTTTCGCTGAATATTTTCCTATGCACCCTGGGCGGCATATGGCGGCCCGTCAAGTGGTCATCATGCTACGCTAAGCTACTGTACCACGCGTTCAGCTTCTACATAATAGTCTCGCAGTATTTTTTCGTGCTGACCCAACTCATAAATCTCGTAATCGTATTTGGCGACATGGATGAATTTCTTTTTAATTTCCTATCATGTTTGACTCTCATTGTCGTTTGTTTCAAAAGCACAATTACATTAATACGTCAAGATACGATCATCGACTTGATGCAGACGTTGTCGCAGGAACCGTGCAAGCCCCGGGACGCGGCCGAGATGGCGATACAGACGAAATTCGACGAGTTTATTAGGTAGGTCATTTTATTAAGCGCACTCTTTAAATTTTTTCGGGTAAAACTTCTTTCGAAAGACTGTTTGATCACTGATTATAACACCGTTATTAATAATCGTTACTTGAAATTTGCTTCAAATGAGATATACCGATTTGAATAGGAGATATATGTGAATCAGATATAAATTGCGAAATATGATATATTTAACAATTGCAAATGTTACATTTATTTAACAATACAAATGGAAAGTACCTTCAACTCTAAATTCCAATCTGAAAATCATACTTGAAACAAGTCTTAGGAAACGACTATTCACTCAAATTCGTGTCACTCATATAGAATGAATTTTACATTTCGAACCGTCGAGTGAATATTTTTATTCAAAATAGAAAAGTGAATATGTCATAGAAGCCGTCATAGAAACATATTCATTCTAATCAGTTGAAAGATTCAATTATATTGTATCAAAGTTCATCCTAAACTTGAGTAAAACATTAATTTTTAGATTTCATATGGCAATATCGCTTCTTTAAGTAAAAATATCGCTTCTTTATGTGACAATATCGCCACTTTTTACTCGTTTCGTATGAAATTCTACTTAAAAACGTTCACACTACATACTTCGATTTCAGTTATTTTATTTTAATTATTCATTCGATATTAATTATCTTATTTCTTCCATTTTTTTTATTGACTCTCACTATTTTACTAACACTCACATTTCCAGGTCATGCACGATAAAATACGGGCTTATGGCAACCGGCTCCATCACGAGCGTCACCATTAAATCAGTGGTCGAAATTATGAAGGGTTTCCTGCCTTACAAAGCGTGGATGCCGTACGATTTGAGTTCATTTGCGCCTTTCATGATCACGTCCATTCAACAGATGGTGACATTGGTCTTAGCCACTGTCATCAATATTGGCACGGAAACTCTGATATGCGGCATGATTTTGCAAACATGCGCGCAAATTGAGATTTTCGAGGAACGTCTTAAAAAATTGATAAACAACAGAAGAGTCAGATCAATCAATCAACAGAACAGCGGAAATCGTGAATGGTCCTCAACAGCTCCAACGAATCACCAAGAAGAGATAATATCCGCACACATACGTCATCATCTTATTATTTACGAGTTAGTTATATGTGTAACTATCTTTCTATATGTTCGTAATACGAACTTTTGTTCTATATTGAATTGTCTCATCCAAAGTGCATTGCAGGTACGCAAAAACAGTAAACAAGGTGTTCAGGCATGTACTCTTTGTTCAATTCTTCATAAGTTTAATCATCTTGTGTATGAGTGTGTATTACTTGTCGTATTACATTACGGATGTAGAAGCTACGTCTATGGTAGTATACACTATTTGCATGTTTATACAAATTTATATTTTTTGCTGGGCTGGAAACGAGGTCATACTTAAGGTAAGAGGTTATTTGCGCTTTACTTTCTGTTCCAGCAGACACACTTTGTGAATTTCCGAGTCGTTATTTTTTTCACTTTTTACGTACTTTCAATACTTTTACTGTACCGCTTTTCAGCGCTTCACATTTAACTGTCTACTTTTTTCATATTCTGAACAACCAATTTGAATTATTTTTGTACACACTGCAGTTTTTATCTAAAGTAATAATACATTCTGACTATAAATTCTCATTCTGAAGAAGCTCTTCTATCGACACTTTAAATGGGAAAATTGCTAACTATTTAGTCGTGATACAACATAAGGTCTTCAGTTCTATATAAACGAAAGCTGTCGTTATCAAGTGTTGGCTGGTTCAAGGCGAAGTAGAAGTGAAATTTCGATTAGTACTGAAAAATGAATGTAAAGCTGACGAAAGACTGACTCGACATTACTGTCAAATAATTATTTCCTTATTGCCATGTCGACAGAGTTCGAGTATAGGAAACGCAGTGTATCAGACAGATTGGTGTATGTTACCTACCAGCGAAAAGAAAGATCTACTGATGATTATGAAACGTAGTGCGTTTCCTATCAAATTTACCAGCAGTTTCCTGATCATTCTATCTCTCGAGTCTTTCAGTGGCGTTAGTATTACTATGACATGTGAGCTTCCTAATTTTAGTACATGACAGATCTCTGACTTTATGCTTCCTTTACAGATTCTCAAAACATCGTATTCGGCATTCAGCGTATTGCAACAAAATTCTTGAGATAGAAACAGTTGTAAAAAATTGGAAAGTAACGAATGTATTTACCACTAATATTAACGATAATAACTTTGTAGTATATGTAAAATAATAACGGCTGTATAGACGTCAAAACTTCCATCTGTATATATTCATCTTAAACTTATTATTCTCTAAAAATTATTATACTACATATCATCGTCATAACAACCTCCTTTTAATTATTATTAAAAATCTATGTGGTCACTTATAAAATAGTAGAGGATTTTTTTGTTTAGTTTGATCTAATGTACGAGCACACGACGGCAAAACTCGCTATCACAGTTTATCTGTCATGTGTGTGATCATTTACCAATATTCTCTAATTAATAACTCCAGATTTTACGTGGTCGTTTGCGAAATGGGAGAGAAATTTTGTGTTCATTTTAATGAATTCTACTTGCGCACAACGGGTCTGTCATGAATTGTGAGACACATGGTATATTACATCCCTTATTACATTGTCACGCACCATTGAACGATAAAGACCGCTTTTGTGAGAGAAATACAGTTTAGCGTATCGAAATTGCTAGGGACGTGACATGAAAAATCATAAAATTTCATCGTATGGAAACACGGTGGCATGCTCGAATACAAGGCACAGCGACTTTCCAACGTTGCAAATAAAGCGAATGTTGGCGGCTCGACTTGGAAATTCGGCCGCAGAACTAGAAGACGGAAAGCTCAGAGAAAACTCGAAAGTGACGTTGCAAATTCCGATAAGAAGTCTGTGCGTTATGGTAGGATTCCTTATGCCAAATGAAAGGTTTTAAAACGAAAACTTTCATACAAAAATGTCGAGGCTATAATAGTTTTCAAACGGGAAGCGATTATATTTCACCAATAACAGGGTTGAGATTTCGCGCGCTCAGGCACGTGAAAATAACAAGTGATAAAGTTGCTCCTACGAATGTCACTTTTTTTATGATATCATGATTATTGTATAAATTTACAATAACATTGTCATAATATGTTTTACTGCTTCTCTATTGCATTAGTATATTTTTATATGAATAACAGTTGTAGATACCTTAAATATGATTCAAGTAAAAATGACATTTCAACTTAATCTGTCAAAGTGTCGATCAATTATTACCATGAAGGTGTCCACTATTCTGTACTGCGTGTGGCACCTTTATCACTTGTCATTTCGGCGTGCCTGAGAGCACGAAATCTCAGCCCTGTTATTGGTGAAATTAATCGCTTCCTGTTTGAAAACTATTATAGCCTTGACATTTTTGTATGGAAGTTTTCATTTTAAAATGTTCTAAAGAATCTGCCATTAAAATAACATCCGGTAGTTTCGGGACACCCTGTATACAGGGTGTCCCGCGTAAGACGTGCTCGCGGGTCTATCTCATAGGCCTAGAAGTGGGAACTACGTCTTAGATCTGACACTGCGTGATAGAACCGCCAGTAATCGTCCATTTTATTCGCCGGCTGCGGCGAGCCGTATGTTTTGCCTGTTGCGTCGCGCGCTCTGATTTGCCCAACTATTTTAATTAATATCTCGAAATTTTACGTGGTTGTTTGAAAAATGATATCTACAATTTTTGTTCACTTTTATCTGTTCTACTTATATTTTCCTTTTGGCACGTTTTACGCGAGACACCCTGTATATATATATTTGTTTTTCTAAAAAAAAGTAAATTGTATGTAATCGTGACTATATATCGTGATTATATTTAAAAAAGTGAAAATCTGAATATAAATTTTATAAATCAAAAATATATTTTACTTTAAAAAAAAAAGTAAAACACGCAAGAAAATAAAGTAATAAATAAAAAAAATGTATACAAAAAGGAATTTATATAATAGAAATTTGTTGGTAAATATAAGAAATAAGTTGTAGTTTGATTTTTATATATTGATCTTTTATATCAGATATATCTATTGTAACTTGGTAATATAATGGGTCATTAGTTATAAACTATTGTAATTTGATAATAATGAATCATATACTTGGATCATTCTACTAATTTCATATATTTTAATTGAGTTTCTTTTTATAATTTTGGATTAAAATGTTTTGTTAGGTTGCATTTTACGCAAACATTTATAGAGGTTCTTAAATTAGGTTTTTGTTAAGTTTTTTATACGGGGTTTTTGTTAAGAACAATTTACAATCTTTATGTATTTGACGTATTTTTTATCTTAGTAAGCTCTTTTTAGTTTTGAGTTGTTATTCCCTACCCGAAACGTGTCGCTGTAATTGGAGATATTACGTAAAAGACCGAACGTGGGATAGCCGCAGGTGCCCGGTTCGATTATCACAAACTGATTTTGAATAATGATTGAATGAAAGATAAAAAAGTTTATTCTGTGAAAACACGTTTTTCCATAACAATAACAATCTATGTACTGTTTTAACGCATAATACGTACTGTATGCGTACATACTCTGTGTGTGTTTTCTGCGGTTCAAACGATTTGCTCCGTCATTTGTTCTACTCGATAAGGAGAAACGCGTGGACCCACAATTTGGAAGACATTCTGGTTGTACTGTATGCAAGACGTCCCAGACTCTCCTCCGCATATTTTATGGAAATGTAGGACGGGCTGAGGTAAACATAAAAGTCCTATAACGTTTTGCATTATTCGCAATAATAACCGAGAAATTAATTGTAAAAGATTAAGGAAAAACGCATGCTGAATGGTTGCGAAAAGAGTGCTCGCGACCCAGTAATATAGCAGGCAGATGTCAGCACGTGGCGAATGGTAGATTAACGCGCCACTATCTGCGATTATATCGTTGCACTTCTCTATCTCGCCTCGGCGTGGTGCGACAAGGTATAAGATCGCAGGGATATAAGCATAGGCAGTGAGGCATTGTCTTTCCAATCACCGCGCGTCGAAATCTGCGCGCTATATTATTATGTTGCGAACGCTCCCTCCTCAACCATTCAGCGTGCATTTTTTTCTTAATCTTTTACAATTAATATCTCAGTTATTATTGCAAATATCGCAAAACGGCATAAGACTTTTGTATTCACCTCAACCCGTTCTACATTTCCGCAAAATATGCGGAAGAAAATCTGGGACCCCCTGTATAGAGTGATATACATTTCTTGACGCACACAGTATATGAGTTGTGATAGCAAACATATTGTATTATGTCGGATCTCACGTGATCCATTCATCAATCTTCTTTAATTAATAATTCAAAATTTCAGTGTTTGTGAAATGGAAGAGAAATTTTGTGTTTAGTTTAGTAAATACTACTTGCACACAGGTATGTTATAAATTGTGAGACACGCGGTATATTACAGCCTTTGCTACATCGTCACCCACCATTGAACGATAAAGACCGCTTTTGTGAGAGAAATACAGTTTAGCACGTCGAAATTGTTGGGAACGTGACATGAAAATTCATAAAAATTTCATCGTATGGGAACGCGGCAGCATGCTCGAATGCAAGGCACAGCGACTCTCCAACGTAGCAAATAAAGCGATCTTTAAAGTATTGCGACAACGAAGGAACGGTAAGAAGAGCGCCACATAGCGTGATCCACAGATGATACAAGCAACTTCTCTGCCTTAACAACCGTCATTAATTGCATAGCAACACAAAATTACAGAGAAGGGATACTACGTATCGTAGATACGCGGTCGTTTATATTTGCTGACAATTTTCCGTATTTCTGCGATATGAAGGAATGTCTTCGCAATAACACGCACCCCATTACAGTTTATAACTGTCATTAATAGCATAGCGTTACAAAATTACAGAGAAGGAATCCGCGAAGTATCATAGCCCACGATACATGGTGGACAATATTTGTTTAGCATTTTCTATATTTCCGTGATATGAAGAAACGGGTTACGTCCCAGCGTTAATATACATCCCATTACATTGTGCTGAATAGAAAAATACGGGAAGAAATATTTCGAAGAAAAACACGCTATAGATATTCACGGTGGTACTTCTGTACGGCACGTATATGCTGTACATCCTCGGTTATTTTTTCATTCCGCTATTAGAGACATGCGATTGCTTTCATTGAATTTTTTCATATGCACTCTCGGCGGTATATGGCGGCCCGTCGAGTGGTCGTCGAGCTGCGCTCATCTACTGTATAACGCGTTCACCTTCTGCACGATAGTTCCTTTGTACTTCTTGGTACTGACTCAATTCATGGATCTCGTTCTCGTAGTCGATAACATGGACGATTTCACTACTAATTCCCTCATGTTTCTAACCATCGTAGCTGCTTGCTGTAAAGCTACGATCGCGTTGATACGTCGGGACGCAATTATCGATCTGGTGCACACGTTGTTGCGGGAGCCGTGCAAGCCCCGGGGCGCCGAAGAGACAGCGATACAGACGAAATTCGACGATTTTATCAGGTGAGTCATTTCATTCGGCGCGAATTTTATTGACTTCCGCGTTTTTATTGATTTTTATCTGCCGCTATTTCACTGATCACTCACGTTCCCAGGTCATGGTCGATCAGATATTCGCTGCTAGCGACGAGTTCCGCCACGGGAGTCACCATTAAATCAGTGCTAAACGTTATGCAGGGTATCTTGCCTCACAGAGCGTGGGTGCCGTACGACGTGAATTTATCTCTACCCTTCTGGATCACGTCCATTTTACAGATCATATCCTTGATCTTCACCACTATCATCGACGTCGGCACGGAGACTGTGATCTTCGGCTTGTTCTTGCAAACGTGCGCGCAACTTGAAATTTTCGAGAGACGTCTTTACAAACTGGTGATCAACAAAACAGCAGCGAGATTGTCCGGCGCACATGAGAGATGTTTCTTACCGAATTACAAGGAAGAACTAATATCCTCGTATATACACCATCATCTCAGTATTTACCAGTTAGTCATGCGTGTTGTTATCCTTTCACGTGTTCGTGATACAAAATTGCATCCAATACCGAGTTGTCTCATCCGACGTGCGTCACAGGTATGCCAAAACGGTAAACCGAGTATTCAACCAGATACTCTTTGTACAATTCTTCGTCAGTATATTGGTATTGTGTACGAGTGTGTATTACTTGTCGTCTCACATTATGGAAACCGAAGCTGCGACTATGATAATATATACCTTTGGCATGTTTGTACAAATTTTTGTCTATTGTTGGTCCGGAAACGAGGTCCTACTTAAGGTGAGAGGCTATTTGCGTTTCACTTTCTGTTCCAGTGAACGCACTTTGACAATTCCCGAGTCGACATTTCTTTCCTACTTTAGACTCTCACAATATATTACATCGATCTTTCAGTGTTTGACATTTAACGTGTACTTCTTTTTGATATCTCGAACGATCGACTCAATATATTCCATTGGACTCACAGCTTTTAAAGTAGAACAATGAATTTCGTTTTTTGGATATTTCCGCTGCGAATTTTTATTTCTTAGAAGCTCTTCTTTCATATTTAACAAGCGGAAAATTGTTGATTATTTTTTCGAGATATAATGCAAGAGCACAAGTCTCACTGCGAAAAAGCATTTTTGTTGGTTTAAATAAATATCTTGGTGTAATATGAACAAATAAAAAATTCCGGTGGAAGTTATGTTCTACTCAAAATTCTGCTGAAATTAATCAGAATTTTGTCAACTTGAATAGAATTCTAGTAACTTCAAGCAGAATTTTCATTCGTCCATATTTCAATAGATATTTGGTTAATTCAACAAAATTCCTTTTTTCGTTCAAGTGAAAGTAATCATCCTTTAAGATCTATTAATGTTGGAAGATTCAGATCGACAATAGAAGCGAAATTTCGACTCAATTGGAAGCTAAATTAAATTCAACTTAAAACTGACGATTGACTCGATGTTATTTTCAAATAATTATGTTATTACTATTATGTTGATAGAGTTTGAGCACAGGAGACGCGGTGTATCATATGGATTGGCCTCTGTTATCCATCAACGAGAAAAGAGATCTACTGATGATTATGAAACGGAGCACAATTCCTATCAAATTTACCAGCAGTTTCCTGGTAACTCTATCTTTACAGTCATACGGTAACGTTAGTATTACTGCGATAAGCGGGCTTTGTAATTTACACACTACACGTGAAGTTTATTATATTATGCTACTTTTTTAGATTCTCAAGACATCGTATTCAGCATACAACGTGTTACAGCAATCCTGAGATATAAAATAATCCAAAATAACGCGTGAATATATTTAGAGATAATAATAATAATAATTAAATTCCATAGAATAAATAAATTCTTTTCAGTAGAAAAACGTTTTTCCATAACAAAAATCCATGTGCTACTTTGGCATATTATATATACTGTGTGCGAGACATTTCAGGGTGTTCTCCACGGTTGACACATCTTCCGACATTCGTTCCACTCATCGAAGAGACACACGCGAGGGCACACAGTTTGAAGAACATATCTGCTTGTACTGCATATATCGCTCACCTTGCTATATCGTTCCGCAATGTTGAACGATGAAGTCTGTTCTTGTGGGAGAAATACACAAACACATTCTGGCATATCGAATTGCCGATATTGTGACATGAAAATTCATAAACATTTTATCAAATAAAAATGCGACAGTATGCTCGAATACAAGGTACAGCGGATCTTCCATGTTGCAAATAAAGCGACTTTTATAGTATTCATGAATGATACGAAGAAAATTTCGGTAATTTCGGTAAAATAATAAAGGTTAAGAACGCTACGGAAGAGTAACACCATCGTAATAAGCAGCATATTCCTTGTGTGTCTTCTACGGTTGAAACGATTTGCTCCGTCATTCGTTCTACTCGACGAGAAGCGTACGGATTCACAATTTCGAGAACATTCTGGTTTGTATTGTATATAGATTGTTTTACCTTTCTTGACGCACACAGTAGATGAGTAATAGCAAACGTATAGTATTGTATCTTATCGCGTATAATCTATTCATCAATTTTCTTTAATTAATAATTTAAAACTTCAGTGTTTGTTTGTGAAATAAAAGAGTGATTTTGTGTTTAGTTTAATGAATTCTACTCGCACAAAACGGATATGTCATTATGAGATACATAATTGTGAAATACATAATTGTGAGACACACAAATTGTGAAATATACGGTATGTTACACCTCTTGCTACATTACCACGCACCATTGTACGATAAAGACTACTTTTGTGAGAGAAATATAGTTTAGCACATTGAAATTGCTGGGGATGTGACATGTAAATTCATAAACATTTCATGGGATGGGAACGCGGCAACATGCTCGAAAGCAAGGCACAGCGGCTCTCCAACGTTGCAAATTAAGCGACCCTTAAAGTATTGATGAGCGACAGCGGAGGTACGGTAAGAAGAGCCCCACATAGCGTAATCCACAGACGATACAAAGGAACTTCTCTGCGTTAATAACCGTCACTAATTGCATAGCATCACAAAACTACAGAGAAGGAACGCTACGTACCGTTACGCTGTCGTTCATATTTGCTGACAATTTTCCGTATTTCTGCGAATGAAGGAATGTCTTCGCAATAACACGCAACCCCATTACATTGTGCTGAATAGAAGAGTACCAGAAGCGATATCGCTCGAAGGAAAGCACGTTAAATATTCTCAGTGCTATATCTGTACGGCACATATGCGCCATTTTCCCACGGTTATTTTACACTTAGGGATAATAGGGATGTAAAGCCTTTCGGTAATCCAAGCTAAGACGTGATTCCTCATCTGATTTTGTATTTTTCTATTCTTCGGACATCAACGTCGGTCAATTGCTGAAATACGAATAACAAGCAGACAATCGTAGACGCGACGTCGCTAAAAATCAAAAGTGGAACCGATTTCTACCGGGTTTATCGAACTTGCGATTCGTCGAAGACTACGATCTTTGATGCCACATGTGAGATGCGGATGCGGTTGTGGTGTTAATTGCTTGCACGTTCAGTTTTATGGAAAATTATCGCGTATCTTATATTAAATTCAATTTTCCTTACGACATGCGTTGCGTTTAATCGACTATTTATCTTCAATCGCAATAATTTATCGATATACAAGTGACATGATAGATATAGCGCCGCAAAAACATTGTTTGAGTTATTTTACATGTAAAGAAGTGCTGCGACATCAGTTCCCGATATCTCGATAAAATTTCCGCGATCACAAGCATGCAATTGCTTTCTTTGAATTTTTTCATGTTCACCATAAGCGGCGTATGGCGGCCTATCGAGTGGTCGTCGAGCCGCACTAAGGTACTGTACTACGCGTTCAGTTTCTACACGATAGTCTCGTTGTATCTCTTGGTGATAGGCCAAACCATAGATCTCATCTTTGTGATTGATGACATGGACGATTTCATTATGAATTCTCTCATATGTACGACCATCTTTGCTGTTTGTTGCAAAGCTACGATCACAATAATACGTCGAGACGCGATCATCGACTTAGTGCAGATTTTGTCGCGGAAGCCCTGCAAACCCCAGGATGCGGACGAGATGGCGATACAGGCGAAATTCGACAAGTTCATCAGGTAGACCGTTTCAGATACATACTCTAAATTCTTTAAATTAAAATTTCCCTCAAAAAGTAGGGTAAAGCACATCGCGCTTCGATGAGAATTATTTGATTGATATCCATGTGTTTTTGTTCACTCTCATTATTTCATTGACAATTATGTCTAGATTGTGCACGTTAACATACGCGATTATTGCGGCGAGTTCTTTCACGACCGTCCATACCAGAGGGATATTAAATATGATGAAAGGTAACTTGCCTCACAGAGCGTGGGTGCCATACGATTTGAGTGTTTTTCTGCCCTTTTTAATCACGGGCATTCAAGAAATCGTAACTATGTTTTTTGCTACTATCATCAACGTCGCCGCGGAGACTTTGATCTTCGGCATGTTTTTGCAAACGTGTGCGCAAATTGAGATTTTCGAGAGACGTCTTCACAAGTCGGTGATCAACAAGACAGACAGATTAATCGACAAACATAGCGAATGTTTCCCAGATACTTCGACGAGTCATAATGTAGAGATAATGTCTGAACATATACGTCATCATCTCATTATCTACAAGTTAGTCATACTTGTAGCTATTCTTTTATATGTTTGTGATACAAAATTTTGTCCAATACTGAAGTCACTGATCCAATGTATATCGCAGGTATGCCAAAATGTTAAACAACGTGCTTAACCCGATACTCTTCGTTCAATTCTTCATCAGTATATACATCTTGTGTATGATTGTGTATTACTTGTCGTCTCATATTAAGGAATTCGAATCTATCTTTATGGTAATGTACGCCACGAGCATGTTTTTACAAATTTTTATCTATTGCTGGTCCGGAAACGAGGTAATATGTAAGGTAAGAGATTATTTACGTATCACTTTTCGTTCTACGAGACACACTGTACGAATTCTCGAGTCGACATTTTTTTCCCATGTAGATTCTTTCAAAACTTTTATTTTGAGACTTTCAACACTTAACATTTAACGTCTATTTTTTTCGTTTTCTCGGGCAATTAATTCCAATTATGTTCATATACCATATTTTCTGTCTAATTAAAAGAATAAATTTTATCTTCAAATTTTTAATTGAAGAAGCTCTACTGTCAAAACTCCATATGGGAAATTGTTTACTTATTCAAAAGACAACTTGAATCCTATATAAACGAAAGTTATCATTATCCTTTAAGATGTAAAAATACTGACAGGTTCTAATAGTAGCAGCAAAAGTAGAAAAGAATGTCATTTCGTGTTGGAAACTGAATTAAATTCAATTTAAAGACGACAGGCTGGCTTGACGTTTCTGTCAAATAATTATTCACTATCATGTCGACAGAGTGCGAGAATAGGAGACGCGGTGTATCAGACGAACTGGTCTATGTTGTCCATCAGCGATAAGAAATGTCTACTGATGATTATGAAACGTAGCACGATTCCTATTAAATTTACCAGCAGTTTCTTGATAACTTTGTCTCTCGAGGCATACACTGGCGTTAGTATTATTATGATATGCGAGTTTTCTAATTCTAATTTAGTAATTAGAGATTTCTTACTTTATGCTTCTTTACAGATTCTCAAAACATCGTATTCTGCATTCAACGTATTGCAACAGAGATCTTGAGGCAAAAACAGTTGAGAATAATTCGAGAATATAATCGATGATAATAATATAAATGACCTTGTAGTATATGTAAAATAATAGTGCACGTGTAAATGTTAAAATTTTCGCCTGTCATTTATTCATCCCAACTTTGTTATTCTTCACTCGAATCATGTCATTATAATTGGTAGTATTATATACAAGAGCGAACGCAGGACAGCCGCAGGAGCATCTACTTACAAACTATGATTTTGACTAAAGATGAAAAAATCCATTTAGTAAAAATACTTTTTTCCAGTAACAATTTATGTACAGTTTTAGTGTATAATACGTACTGCGTGCGAGACATATTCTCTGTGTGTGTTCTACGGTTGAAACATTTTGCTCCGGCATTCGTTCTACTGGACAAAGAGAAGCGCACGTATTCATAACTTGGAAAACATGTCTGGTTATACTTCAGGATATCTGGGTATTCCCGACACAGTAGATAAGCTGTAATAACAATGTTTATCATATCGCGGATGATCAGTTAATCAATCTTCTTTAATAATGCCATATATACAATTTTACATGAATGTTTGCGAAATAGTAGAGAAATGTTGTGTTTAGTATGGTGAGTTCTGCTTGCACACAACGAGCGTGTTGTGAATTGTGGGACGGTATATTATATCCCTTGTTACATCGTCCCGTTCCACCGAGTGACTGCTCTTGTGAGAGAAATATATTTTAGCGCATCAAATTTGCTGGCAACGTGACATGAAGTTTCATAAACATTTCATCGTATGGGAACGCAACGGTATGTTCTAATACAAGACACAGCGGCTTTTAAACGTAGCAAATAAAACGACCCTTGCAGTATTGATGAACGACAGCGGGGAAACAGTAAGAAAGGAACTATAAGGAAAGCAGCAAGTAGCGTAATATTCGCGCACGATACAGACGACTTCTCTTCGCTAGTGACTATCATTAATAGCATAGCGATACAAAATTACAGAGAAAAAATCCGCGAAGTATCATAGCTCGCGATACACGGTGGACAATATTTGTTTAGAATTTTCTGTATTTCCGTGATATAAAGAAACGGGTTATGTCCCAGCGTTAATGCGCATCCCATTATATTGTGTTGAATAGAAAAATACGAGAAAAATACGAGGAGAGATATTTCGAAGAAAAGCACGCTATAGATATTCTCGGTGGTATTTCTGTACGGCACGTATATGCTGTTCATCCTCGGTTATTTTATATTTCATAATTAATAGAATGCATAAACCTTTGATAATCGTAGCTGCGACGCGATGTCATCTGATTTCGTTTGACTTTAGCCCTTGAGCTTTTCATTTCTTCGGACATCCACATCGGTGGATTGCTACTACGCGAATAGTAAGCAGTAGCTCGCAGACGCGAAAAATCGGAAGTGCAACCGATTTCGAATACAAGGGTCGGCGAACTCAATTCGTCGAGGATCTTTAGTGCCGTATATGAAATGCGGACGCCGTTTGTGGAGTTAACCGGCTGTGCATTCACTTTCATGGAATCTTGTCGTCCATCCTGTATTAAATTCAATTCTCCTTGCGACACCGTCGCGTCTGATCGACTATTTATTCGCGATAATTAATCGATACATAATTGGCGTGTTAGACGAAGCAACGCTGAAGCATTGTTTGAGTTGTTTTACATGCAGAGAAGCGCCGCATCGTCGCGCGTGGTGTCTCCATGAAATTTCCGCCATTACAGACATGCAATTGCTTTCGTTCAATTTTTTCATATACACCATGGGCGGTATATGGCGACCCATCGAGTGGTCGTCGAGCTGCGCTCAGCTACTGTATAACGTGTTCACCTTCTGCTCGATAGTCCCTTTGTACTTCTTGGTGCTGACACAATTTATGGATCTCGTTCTCGTAGTCGATAACATGGACGATTTCACTACTAATTCCCTCATGTTTCTAACCATCGTAGCTGTTTGCTGTAAAGCTACGATCGCGTTGATACGTCGGGATGCAATCATCGACCTGGTGCACACGTTGTTGCGGGAGCCGTGCAAGCCCCGAGGCGCCGACGAGACAGCGATACAGACGAAATTCGACGAGTTTATCAGGTGAGTCATTTCATTCGGCGCGAATTTTATTGACTTCCGCGTTTTTATTGGTTTTTATCTGCCGCTATTTCACTGATCACTCACGTTCCCAGGTCATGGTCGATCAGATATTTGCTTCTAGCAATGAGCTCCGTCACGGGAGTCACCATTAAATCGGTGCTAAACGTTATGCAGGGTATCTTGCCTCAGAGAGTGTGGCTGCCGTACGACGTAAATTTATCGCTATCCTTCTGGATCACGTCCATTCTACAGATCATATCCTTGATCTTCGCCACTATCATCAACGTCGGCACGGAGACTGTGATATTCGGCTTGTTCTTGCAAACGTGCGCGCAACTTGAAATTTTCGAGAGACGTCTTTACAAACTGATGATCAATAGAACAGCAGCGAGATTGTCCGGCGGACATGGGGCATGTTTCTCAGCGAATTACAAGAAAGAACTAATATCCTCATATATACACCATCATCTCAATATTTACCAGTTAGTCATGCGTGTTGTTATCCTTTCACGTGTTCGTGATACAAAATTGCATCCAATACCGAGTTGTCTTATCCAACGTGCGTCACAGGTACGCCAAAACGGTAAACCGAGTATTCAACCAGATACTCTTTGTTCAATTCTTCGTCAGTATATTGGTATTGTGTACGAGTGTGTATTACTTGTCGTCTCACATTATGGAAACCGAAGCTGCGACTATGATAATATACACCTTTGGCATGTTTGTACAAATTTTTATCTATTGTTGGTCCGGGAACGAGGTCCTACTTAAGGTGAGAGGCTATTTGCGTTTCACTTTCTGTGGCAGTGAGCGCACTTTACCAATTCCCGAGTCGATATTTCTCTCCTACTTTAGATTCTCACAATATATTGCATCGATCTTTTAGTCTTTGACATTTAACGTATTCTTCTTTTTGATATCTCGAATGATCGACTCAATATATTCCATTGGACTCACAGCTTCTCTCTAAAATAGAAGACTGAATTTCGAGTTGACTTTGACTATGAGTTTAGTATATTTTGACTTTAAATTTTTATTTCTTGGAAGCTCTTTTTTTTATATTTAGCAGGCGAAAAATTATCGAATATTTTTTCGAGATATAATGCAAGGGTACAAGTCTCACTGTGAAAAAGCACTTTTATTGTTTAATTAAATGTCTGGTGAAATATGAACAAATCAAAAATTCCGATGGGAGTTATGTTGTGTTCAAAATTTCTGCTAAAATTAGTCAGAATTTTGTCAACTTGAATAGAAATCTGGTAACTTCAAGCAGAATTTTCATTCGTCCATATTTCAATAGATATTTGGTTAATTCAACTAAATTCCTTTTTCCGTTCAAGTGAAAGTAATCATCCTTTAAGATCTGTAAGTGTTGGAAGATGCAGGTCGACAATAGAAGCGAAATTTCGACTCGATTGGAAGCTAAATTAAATTCAATTTAAAACTTACGATAGGTTGACTCGATGTTATTGTCAAATAGTTATGTTATTATTGTTATGTCGACAGAGTACGAGCATAGGAGATGCGGTGTATCATATGGACTGGCTTCTGTTATCTATCAACGAGAAAAGAGATCTGTTGATGATCATGAAACGTAGCACAGTTCCTATCAAATTTACCAGCAGTTTCCTGGTAACTCTATCTTTGCAGTCATATGGTAACGTTAGTATTACTGCAAGCCCTTATACGCGGGCTTTGTAATTTACACACTACACTAGAGATTTCTTGATTATGCTTCTTTTTTAGATTCTCAAAACATCGTACTCAGCATACAACGTATTACAGCAGTCCTGAGATATAAATTATTCAGAATAACGCGTGAATATATTCGGAGATAATAATAATGATAATGACGTAGTGTATGTAAAACAATAGCGGCTGTATAGACATTAAAATTTCTGTTGAATGTTACTTTCAATCTTGTTACTCTCCACTCAGATTATGTCATTATAATTTTAAAAATAAATAAATTCCTTTTTGTAGAAAAATGTTTTTCCATAACAAAAATCCACGTGTCGCTTTGGCACATTATATACACTGTGTGCGAGACATTCGGTGTGTTCTACGCAGTTGACATATCTTCTTCCTGCATTCGTCACATTCGTCAAAGAGACGCACACGCGGACACACAAAGTCAAGAACACATCTGCTTTTACTGCATATATTACTCCACTTGTCATATCGTTCCGCACTGTTGAACGATGAAGTCCATTCTTATGAGAGAAATACACATTTTGACATACCGAATTGCCGGCGTTGAGACATGAAAACTCATAAACATTTCATCAAATGAGAATGCGACGGTATGCTCGAATGTAATAGATACAGTGGACTTTCCATGTTGTAAATGAAGCGACTTTTACAGTATTCATGAGTGATACGAAGGAAATTTCGTGAAGAAAAGGAACGCCACTGAAGGATAATATCCATAGTAACAGGATTAGTTCAAAGGCAGAAATTAAAATCGCGCATAGTCTGTTTGCAATAAGTGTTCAACTGTGTTCGCTTCGAATTTAATTATCTTACCGACGTTGGAACAAGTTACAGTCGTGTCGGAGTATATCGACCTTATCACGTTGCGATAATAAATATTCGACAAATGCGCTTATGATTGAGTTTTTTGGGTGACTCCCTCACGAGATTCTAATTAAACTAATCAACCGTTAATTCAGTCGGTAAAGCTGAGTTAATGGAAAACAATACGGAATTTGTTATTAAGACACGTGGAAGAAAAATCTCTTGTTCTTTCTGTGTATAACTTATATTTAAAATTCCTACTTCCAGAAAGAGTTAAGTATTACTCGTTTTCTGTTTTGTTAACACTTATCGTATTCTCTCTTTTTTATTATTTTTAGACAAATAATTACTGAACATTGCTGAAAAATGATTGTTAGAAATTTTGCCAGTTAATCATCGATTAATTTAACTGGAGTGTGGCAAAAGTGATCCTTAATTAATTGACTAACTACTCAGATGTATTTATTATTTAATGATACATTAATTGGATCGTGTAATTTAGATTAAAGAGATTATATTTTTGCGTGGTTATAATTTTGTCGAACTATGCATGTGAAAGATGATGGTAAATTGTAGACCTAAATGGTAGGTATTGTTTCATAAAATTGTAGCGACATATACGATTATTCTATTTTATCTGAAAGTTTTTATCTGAAATTGTTTGTCGTATATATATACAATTTGTAACTATATAATGCTACTGATTTGATATATCTCAGATATTCGGCGTACACACATGGTACCATTAGATATTTCTTCCGTTGAACATTATTCTAGATGTTCCTCACGTAGAGCGACGTTGCGCCTTTGCGCAATATACTTTCGTCTCAATAAGTCGCTCGTAATTACGAGAATGCAAATATTTCGGTTCAATTTTTTACTATACACCGTGGGTAGTGTATGGCGGCCTATCGCGTGGTCGTCAAATGCTGCTAAGTTCTTGTATAACGTATTCACCTTCTGTACAATTATACCGCTGTACTTTTTGATGTTGATTCAATTTATGGATTTCGTTTTTATCGTCGATAATATAGACGATTTTGCCAATAACTTTCTCATGTTCATGAATTTCGTCACCGTTTGTTGCAAAGCCACGATCGCCGTGTCCCGTTGGGACGAGATCATCAGTTTGGTGCAGATGTTGCTAACAGAACCGTGTAGGCCGCAAGATGAGAATGAAGTGGCAATACAAATGAAATTCAGTAAGTTTGTTAGGTGAGTAAGCGTGATTACGCTTGGCGTTATGATAACCGACTGCAAGTGATAACCGATTCTCGTGCGTTTCTATTGATATCACACAGAGAAAAGTGTACTTGAAAATCTATTTATGGGATAAATGTTTTTTTTACAGAAATAAATTTTATATCCCGCAAACACATTGTCAAGTATTTCTTGCTCAGTGTGATGGAGCGCGTGCAAATCTTAATTTTCTTTTTCTTTTTTTTTCAACAATGTATGGAAACTGATATCGACTCCGCATTTCGCAGATTATGGTCGATCCGATATTCGCTTCTAACAATGGGTTCCCTTATGGGCGTTACGGTAAAGTCGGTGCTGAACATGATGCACGGTATCTTGCCGTTTCGAGTATGGTTGCCATACGACTTGAATGTGTCTCTGTCGTTTTGAATCACATCCATTCTACAGACCGTGTCCTTGATTTTCTCCACTATCATCAACTTTAGCACGGATACTCTGATCTTCGACTTGTTCTTGCAAACGTGCGCGCAACTTGAAATTTTCGAGAGACGTCTTTACAAACTGGTGATCAACAAAACGGCAGCGAGATTGTCCAGCGGACATGATAGATGTTTCTTAGCAAATTACAAGGAAGAACTAATATCCTTGTATATACATCATCATCTCAGTATTTACCAGTTAGTCATGCGTGTTGTTATCCTTTCACGTGTTCGTGATACAAAATTGCATCCAATACCGAGTTGTCTCATCCGACGTGCATCACAGGTACGCCAAAACGGTAAACCAAGTATTCAACCAGGCACTCTTTGTACAATTTTTCGTCAGTATATTGGTATTGTGTACGAGTGTGTATTACTTGTCGTCTCACATTAAGGAATCCGAAGCTGCGACTATGATAATATATAGCTTTGGCATGTTTGCACAAATTTTTATCTATTGTTGGTCTAGAAACGAGGTCCTACTTAAGGTGAGAGGCTATTTGCGTTTTACTTTCTGTTCCAGTGAGCGCACTTTGCCAATTCTCGAGTTGACATTTCTCTCCTACTTTAGACTCTGACAATATATTGCATCGACCTTTTAGTATTTGACATTTAATGTGTACTTCTTTTTGATATCTCGAACGATCGACTCAATATAATCCATTGGACTCACAGGTTCTTTCTAAAATAGAAGACTGATCTTCGAGTTGACTTTGACTTTGACTATGAGTTTTGGGTATTTCGGCTTTAAATTTTTATTTCTTGGAAGCTCTTCTTTCATATTTAGCAGGCGAAAAATTGTCGAATATTTTTCCGAGATATAATGCAAGAATACGAGTTTCACTGCGAAAAAAGCACTTTTGCTGGTTTAATTAAATATCTAGTGAAATATAAACAAACCAAAAATTCCAGTGGAAGTTATGTTCTGTTCAAAATTTCTGCTGAAATTAATCAGAATTTTGTCAACTTGAGCAGAATTCTGATAACTTCAACCAGAATTTGATTCGTACACATTGCAACGGATATTTGGTTAATTCAATCAAATTTTTTTTTCGTTCAAGTAATCATGAAAGTAATCATTATAATTTAATTTCCGTGAAAGTAATCATTATAATTTAAGATCTGTAAGTGTTGGAAGATTCAGATCGATAATAGAAGCGAAATCTCGACTCGATTAGAAGCTAAATTAAATTCAACTTAAAACTGACGATAGGTTGACTCGATGTTATTGTCAAATAGTTATGTTATTACTGTTATGTCGACAGAATGCGAACATAGGACGCAGTGTATCATATGGATTGGCCTTTGTTATCCATCAACGAGAAAAGAGATCTACTGATGATTATGAAACGGAGCCTATCAAATTTACCAGCAGTTTCCTGGTAACTCTATCTTTGCAGTCATACGGTAACGTTAGTATTATTGCGATATGCGAGCTTTGTAATTTATACACTACACGTGAGATTTATTATATTATGCTCCCTTTTTAGATTCTCAAAACATCGTATTCAGCATACAACCTGTTACAGCAGTCCTAAGATATAAACCATTCAGAATAACGCGTAAATATATTCAGAGATAATAATAATGATAACGACGTTGTAGTATAACAATAGGGGCTGTATTTAAACATTAACATTGTAAACAGTAAAATTTCTGTTGAATGTTAGCTCAATCTTATTATTCTCCACTCAGATTACGCCATTATAATTGGCAATATTATATAGGATGTCCCAGATTCTCCTCTGCAATTTTTGTAGGATCGTAGAATGAATTGAGGTAAACGTAGCAATTCCATAGCGTTTTGTGATATTCGCAATATATCTCAAGATATTAATTGAATAAGATTAGTAAATAATCACGTATATATTCATATATTAGATTAAACTAAAAAGTTCTCTATTACTTCGTAAATGACTACATAGATTTTTAGATATCAATTAAAGACGATTTATGCATTATCGCACACAGTCGTGTAACAATTTTCTTCATTAATAAATAGAAATCTATTTGCAAAATGATAAAGAGCCTTCTTGTTCGATTTGATAATGTGCAAGCACACAAGAACACACATCGCCACTCATCTACACGGAAAAAAGGTTTTGTCGAATTAACCAAATATCAGGTCAAATATGAACTATCCAGAAATTCCGATTGAAGTAATCCGAATTCTGTTTAAGTCAAACAAACATCTTGTTAACTTAAACAGAATTCGGGTTACTTCAATCGGAATTTCTGGATCGTTTATATTCGACCAGACATTTGGTTAATTCAACCAAATCTTTTTTTCCGTGTACAATATCGCGCGTGATCATTCACTAATCTTCTTTAATTAATATCTCGACTAGTATTTATATATTCAGAAGCAACTCGATATGAGCTCGATAATCACATGTAAAAAGAAATGTCATTCAAATCCTCCATATCAAGCAAAACTTGGCCGCCATCTTCTTGAACACGCGAACAACTACAATTTCGATTAAAAATAAAAGTGCGTTCCGTAGAAACACAAAAATTCCTTTCTATAAAAAAACGCGTTTCCGTAACAAAAATCCATGTGTCGTTTCGGTACATTATATGTACTATGCGCGAGATTCCGTGTCTGTTCTACACGGTTGACACATCTTCCTCCAGCAATTTGTTTCACTCGATAAGAAGACACACGCACGGACATTTTGAAGAACCCGCTTGTGCTGTATATATTACTCCCCTTGCCATATCGTTCCGCAATGTTGGACAATGAAGTCCGTTCTTGTGGGAGAAATATACATATACAGTCTGGCATATCAAATTGCCGACATAAAAATTCATAAACATTCCATCAAATGAAAATGCGACGGTATGCTCGAATGAAAGGTACAGCGGACTTTCCATGTTGTAAATGAAGCGACATTTACAGTATTCATGAGTGATACGAAGGAAATTTCGTGAAGAAAAGGAACGCCACCGAAGGGTAATATCCATTGTAATAGGCAGCTTTATGTTATTAATGATCGTCATTAATGGCGTAGGGTTATACAATGTAGGGTTAGTTCAAAGATGCAGAAAGTAAAGTCGCGCATAGTCTGTTTGCAATAAGCGTTCGACTGTATTCCCGTCGAATTTAATTATCTTACCGACGTTGAAACAAGTTACGGTCGTGTCATAGTATATCGACTTATCACGTTGCAATAATAAGTGCGACAAATGCGCTTATGATCGAGTTTTTTGGATGACTCCCTCACGAAATTTTGATTAAACTAATCAACCGTTAATTTAGTCGGTAAAGCTGAGTTAATGGAAAACAATACGGAATTTGTTATTAAAACGCGTGGAAGAAAAATCTCTCGTTCTTTCTGTGTATAACTTAAATTAAAATTCCTACTTCCAGAAAGAGTTAAGTATTACTCGTTTTCTGTTTTGTTAACACTTATCGTATTCTCTCTTTTTTATTATTTTTAGACAAATAATTACTGAAAGTTGCTGAAAACTAATTGTTGAAAATTTTGCCAGTTAATCATCCATTAATTTAATTGGAGTGTGGTAAAAGTGATCCTTAACTAATTGACTAACTACTCAGATGTATTTATTATTTAATGATACATTAATTGGATCGTGTAATTTAGATTAAAGAGATTATATTTTTGCGTGGTTATAATTTTGTGGAACTATGCATGTGAAAGATGATGGAAGATTGTAGATCCAAATGGCAGGTGTATTGTCTCATAACATTGTAGCGACGTATACGATCATTCTATTCTATCTGAAAGTTTTTATCTAAAATTGTTTGTATATATATATAATTTGTAACTATATAATACCACTGATTTGATATATCTCAGATATTCGGTACACACACACGGTGTCATTAGATATTTCTTCCGTTGAACATTATTCTAGATATTCCTCGCGTAGAGCGACGTTGCGCCTTTGCGTAATATGCTTTCATTTAAATAAGTCGCTCATAATTACGAGAATGCAGATACTTCGGTTGAATTTTTTAATATACACCGTGGGTGGTGTGTGGCGACCTATCGCGTGGTCGTCAAATGTTGCTAAGTTCTTGTATAACGTGTTCACCTTCTGTACAATTATACCGCTGTACTTTTTGATGCTGACTCAATTTATGGATCTCGTTCTTATCGTCGATAATATAGACGATTTTACCACCAACTCTCTCATGTTCATGTCTGTCGTCGCCGTTTGTTGTAAAGCCACGATCGCCGTGTTCCGTCGGGAGGAGATCATCAGTTTGGTGCAGATGTTGCTAACAGAGCCGTGTAGGCCACAAGATGAGAATGAAGTAGCAATACAAATGAAATTCAACAAGTTCATTAGGTGAGTAAGCGTAATTACGCTTGGCGTTGTGATAACCGACTGCAAGCCGATTCTCGTGCGTTTCTATTGATATCACACAGAGAAAAGAGTACTTGAAAATCTACTTATGGGATAAAAGTTTATTTTACAGAAATAAATTTTATATCCCGCAAACACATTGTCAAATATTTCTTGCTCAGTGTGATGGAGCGCATGTAAATCTTAACTTTTCTTTTCCTTCTTTTTTTCAACAATATATGGAATGATCTAAACTCCACATTTCGCAGATCATGGTCGATTCGATATTCGCTTCTAGCGACGAGTTCCGTTACGGGCGTCACGGTGAGGTCGGTGTTGAACATGATGCACGGTATCTTGCCGTACCGAGTATGGTTGCCATACGACTCGAATGTGTCTCTGTCGTTCTGGATCACGTCCATTCTACAGACCGTGTCCTTGATTTTCGCCACTATCATCAACGTCGGCACGGAGACTCTGATTTTCGGCTTGTTCTTGCAAACGTGCGCGCAACTTGAAATTTTCGAGAAGCGTCTTTACAAACTGGTGATTAACAAAACGACAACGAGATTAACCGACAAACATGGAAAACGTTGCTCAGCAAGTTACAAGAAAGAACTAATATCTAATTACATACACCATCATCTCAGCATTTACCAGTTAGTCATACGTTATTATCCTTTCACGTGTTCGTGATACAAAATTTCATTCAATACCGAGTTGTCTCATCTAACGTGCGTCGCAGGTATGCCAAAATGGTAAACAGCGTATTCAACCAAGTATTATTTGTCCAGTTCTTCGTCAGTATCTTGGTATTGTGTACAAGTGTGTATTACTTGTCGTCTCACATTCAGGAATCTGAAGCTGCAACTATAATAATATACACTGTTTGCATGTTTCTACAAATTTATATCTATTGCTGGTCCGGAAACGAAGTCATTCTTAAGGTGAGAGGCTATTTATGTTTCACTTCCCGTTCCAATAGATGCACTTTGCGAATTCCCGAGTCGATATTTCTCTCCAACTTTAGACTCTCTCAATATTTTTATTCTATCGACCTTTTAATGTTTGATGTGTACTCCTTTATTATTTTTATTTAATGTGTACTCCTTTTTGATATCTCGAACGATCGACTCAATAAATTCCATTGACCCGCAGTTTCTATCTAAAATGAATGAATCTAAAAGGAATGAATTTCGATTTTGAGTTTTGGATATTTGAATTTTTATTCCTCAGAAGTTTTTCTTTCATGTTTGTAACAGAGAAATTGTTGATTACTTTTTCGAGATATAATTCAAGGGCACGAGTTTTCACTCTCCGAAAAAGCAAATTTATTGGTTTAATCAAATATCTGATGAAATATAAACGAACCAAAAATTCCAGTGAAAATTACCAAAATTCTGTTGAAGTTAATCAGAATCTTGTCAACTTGAGCATAATTCTGGTAATTTCAACCGGAATTTTGATTCGCTCATATTTCAACAGATAGTTGGTTAATTCAACCAAATTTCTTCTTCCATGTAGGGGAAGTAATCACTTTAAGTTCTGTGAGAGTTGGAAAGTTCAAATCGACAATTGAAATGAAATTTCGACTCGATTAAAAGCTAAATTAAATTCAACTTAAAACTGACTAAGATTAACTCAACATTGCTGTTAAATAGTTATGTTATTACTATCATGTCGACAGAGTGCGAGCATAGGAGATGCGGTATATCATACGGACTGGCCTCTGTTATCTGTCAGCGAGAAAAGAGATCTGCTGATGATTATGAAACGTAGCACAATTCCTATCAAATTTACGAGCAGTTTCTTGGTAACACTATCTTTGCAGTCTTACGGTAACGTTAGTATTACTCCGATATGCGGGCTTTGTAATTTACACATTACATGAGAGATTTCTTACATTATGCTCCTTTTTTAGATTCTCAAAACCTCATACTCATCATACAACGTGCTACTACAATCCTGAGATATAAATTGTTGAGAATAACGAATGAATATATTTGGAGATAATAATAATGATAATGTTGTAGTATACGTAGAACAATAGCGGCTGTATTTAAACATTGACATTTTAAACAATATAATTTCTGTTGAATGTTGTCTCAATCTTATTACTCTCCACTCGGATTACGCCATTATAATTGGCAGTATTATATAGGATGTCCCAGATTCTCTCCCGCAATTTTTGTAGGATCGCAGAATGAATTGAGGTAAAAATAGCAATTTCATAGCGTTTTTGTGATATTCGCAATAAATCTCAAGATATTAATTCAAGAAGTTAGTAAATAATCACGCACTATATGGTAGATGAGCTGTAATGGCGCCGTTGTATATTCACATATTAGATCAAACTGAAAAACAAAAAAGTTCTCTACCACTTCACAAATGACCACATAGATTTTTAGATATTAATTAAAGACGACTTATGTATTATCGCACTCAATCGTATAACAATTTTCTTCATTAATAACTAAAAATCTATGTGGTTATTTGCAAAATGACAAAGAGTCTTCTCGTTCAACATTTGACAATGTACAAGCACACACATCGCCACTTATCTACACGGAAAAAAAGGTTTGGTTGAATTAACCAAATATCTGGTCGAATATAAACCATCCAGAAATTCCTATTAAAGTAATCCGAATTCTGTTTAAGTCAACCAAACATCTTGTTAACTTAAACAGAATTCGGGTTATTTCAATCAGAATTTCTGGATCGTTTATATTCGACCAGACATTTGGTTAATTCAACCAAACCTTTTTTTCCGTGTACAATATCGCGCGTGATGATTCACTAATCTTCTTTAATTAATATCTCGACTAGTATTTATATATTCAGAAGCAATTCGATATGAGCTCGATAATCACATGTAAAAAGAAATGTCATTCAAATCCTCCATATCAAGCAAAACTTGGCCGCCATCTTCTTGAACACGCGAACAGCTACAATTTCGATTAAAAATAAAAGTGCGTTCCGTAGAAACACAAAAATTCCTTTCTATAAAAAAACGTGTTTTCGTAACAAAAATCCATGTGTCGTTTCGGTACATTATATGCGCGAGATATTCCGTGTGTGTTCTACACGGTTGACACATCTTCCTCCGGCAATTTGTTTCACTCGATAAGAAGACACATGCACGGATACAATTTGAAGAACCCGCTTGTGCTGTATATATTATTCCCCTTGTCATATCGTCCCGGACGATGAAGTCCGTTCTTGTGGCAGAAATATACATACATGTTCTGGCATATCAAATTGCCGGCGTTGTGACATTCATAAACATTTCATCAAATGAGAATGCGAGAATGCTCGAATGCAAGGTACAACGGACCTTCCATGTTGTAAATGAAGCGACTTTTACAGTATTCATGAGTGATACGAAGGAAATTTTGTGAAGAAAAGGAACGCCACAGAAAGGTAATATCCACTGTAATAGGCAACTTTATGTTATTAATGATCGTCATTAGTGGCGTAGGGTTATGCAATGTAGGGTTAGTTCAAAGATGCAGAAAGTAAAGTCGCTCATAGTCCGTTTGCAATAAGTGTTCGACTGTGTTCCCGTCGAATTTAATTATCTTACCGACGTTAAAACAAGTTACGGTCGTGTCGGAGTACATCAACTTTATCGCGTTGCAATAATAAATGTTCAACAAATGTGCTTATTCGAGTTTTTGATATGACTCTCTTACGAGATTCTGATTAATCTAATCGACCATTAATTCAATCGGCAAAGCTGAGTTAATAAAAAACAAAATAGAATTTATTCTTAAGACGCGTGTAATAAAATTCTCTTGTTCTTTTTAGTTAATACTTATCTTTAAAATTTCTACTCCTAGAAAGAGTTACGTATTACTCGTTTTCTGTTTTGCTAGTTCTTATCGTATTCATTCTTTTTTATTTATTATTTTCGGACACATAATTGCTGAATATTATTGAAAATTGATTGTTGGAAATTTTGCCAGTTAATCATCTATTAATTTAACCGGAGTTTGGCAAAAATGACGCTTAACTAATTAACTAACTGTTCAAATGTATTTATTATTGAATGATATATTGGATCGTGTAATAAGTAATTTTCCAACAAAATAAAGTGATTATATTTTTGTGTGGTTATAATATTGTGGAATTATGCGTGTAAAAAATGACCGGAGATAATAGATTCAAAAGGCATGAGTATTGTTCCATAAAATTGTAACTACATAAAAATACGATCGTTCTATTTTATCTGAAATTGTCTGTCGTGCAATCTGTAACTATATAATACCATTAATTTGATATATCTTAAATACTCGGCACACACGTAGGGTACCATTAGATATTTTTTCCTTTGAACACTCTTCTGGGGGGATGTTTCACGCGTAGAGCGACGCTGTGTCTTTGCACAATATGCTCTTGTCACAATAAGTCGCTCGTCATTACGAAAATGCAAATACTTCAGTTGAATTTTCTGATATACACCGTGGGTGGTGTGTGGCGGCCTATCGCGTGGTCGTCGAATGCTGCTAAGTTCTTGTATAACGTGTTCACTTTCTGTACAATCATACCGTTGTACTTTTTGATGTTGACTCAATTTATGGATCTCGTTCTTATCGTCGATAATATGGACGATTTTACCACCAACTCTCTCATGTTCATGACTATCGTCGCCGTTTGTTGCAAAGCAACGATCGCCGTGTTCCGTCGGAACGGGATCATCAGTTTGGTGCAGATGTTGCTGACAAAGCCGTGCAGACCTCAGGACGAGGACGAAGTGGCAATACAAATGAAATTCAATAAGTTCATTAGGTGAGTAAACGTAATTACGTTTTGGCATTATGATAACTGACTGCAAGCCGACTCTCGTGCGTTTCTATCGATATCATACGGAGGAAAGGGTACTTGAAAATTTATTTATGGGATGAAAGTTTATTTTACAGAAATAAACTTTATATCCTGTAAACACCTTGTCAAGTATTTCTTTTTTAGTTTGATGAAGCGCGTGTAAATCTTAACTTTTCTTTTCCTCCTTTCTTTCAACAATTTATGGAAATTGATCCCGACTCCGCATTTCGTAGATTATGGTCGATCAGATATTCGCTTCTAGCGACGAGTTCCGTCACGGGCGTCACCATTAAATCGGTGCTAAATGTTATGCATGGTATCTTGCCGTATCGAGTATGGTTGCCGTACGATTCGAACGTGTCTCTGTCGTTCTGGATCACGTCCATTCTACAGATCGTGTCCTTGATTTTCGCCACTATCATCAACGTTGGCACGGAGACTCTGGTCTTCGGCTTGTTTTTACAAACGTGCGCGCAACTTGAAATTTTCGAGAGGCGTCTTTACAAACTGGTGATTAACAGAACAGTAACGAGATTGTCCGACGAACATAGAGGACGTTTTTCATCGAGTTACAAGGAAGAACTAATATCTAAATACATACACCATCATCTCAGCATTTACCAGTTAGTCATACGTTGTTATCCTTTCACATGTTCGTGATACAAAATTGCGTCCAATACTGAGTTGTCTCATCCGACGTGCGTCGCAGGTACGCCAAAACAGTAAACAGCGTATTCAACCAAGTACTGTTCGTCCAATTCTTCGTCAGTATATTAGTATTATGTACGAGTGTGTATTATTTGTCGTCTCACATTATGGAATCGGAAGCTGCGACTATGATAGTATACACTATTTGCATGTTTCTACAAATTTATATCTATTGTTGGTCCGGAAACGAAGTCATTCTTAAGGTGAGAGATTATTTGCATTTCACTTCCCGTTCCAGTGGACGCACTTTGCGAGTCGACATTTTTCTTTTACTTTAAACTCTTTCAATATTTTCACTCTATCGATCTTTTAATGTCTGACATTTAATGTGTATTTATTTTTTATATCTCAAACGATTAGAACGATATATTCTATTGGACCCGTAGCTTCTATCTAAAGAAAAAGAATGAATTTCGGTCTTGAGAATTTGGATATTTGAATTTTTATTCCTTAGAAATTTTTCTTTCATGTTTGCAACAAAGAAAACGTTGATTATTTTTTCGAAATATAATTCAAGAGTACGAGTTTTTACTCTTTAAAAAAGCAAATTTAATTAAATATCTGATGAAATATAAAGGAACCAAAAATTCCAGTGAGAATTACCAAAATTCTGTTCAAGTTAATCAGAATCTTGTCAACTTGAGCAGAATTCTGGTAATTTTAACCGAAATTTTGATTCGCTCATATTTCAACAGATATTTGGTTAATTCAACCAAATTTCTTCTTTGACGTAGGGAAAGCAATCATTATCCTTTAAGATCTGTAAGTGTTGGAAAGTTCAAATCGTCATTAGAAGCGAAATTTCGACTCGATTGGAAGCTAAATTAAATTCAACTTAAAATTGATGTCAGGTTAACTCAACGTTACTGTTTAATAGTTATGTTATTTCTATCATGTCGACCCATACAGAGTGCAAGCATAGGAGACGCGGTATATCATACGGACTGGCCACTGTTGTCTGTCAGCGAAAAAAAAGATCTGCTGATGATTATGAAACGTAGCACAATTCCTATCAAATTTACGAGCAGTTTCTTGGTAACACTATCTTTGCAGTCTTACAGTAACGTTAGTATTACTCCGATATGCGAGCTTTGTAATTTACACAGTACATGAAAAATTTCTTACATTATGCTTCTTTTTTAGATCCTCAAAACTTCATACTCATCATACAACGTGCTACTGCAGTCCTGAGATAAACCTGATATAAACTTGATATAAACCGATGAGAATAACGCGTGAATATATTTGGAGATAATAATAATGATAATGACGTTGTAGTATATGTAAAATAATAGCAGCTGTATAGACATTAAAATTTCTCTTGAATATTAATCGATTGTCGCAAACAGCTAAAATTTCAGTTAAAAATAAAAGAGAGTTCTGTAAAAATACATAAATTCCTTTTGGTGAAAAACGTTTTCCCATAACAAACTCAATGTGCCATTCCAACACATTATATATACTATGCACAATATATTCCGTGTGTGTTCTACGCGGTTGACACATTTTCCTCCGACATTTGTTCCACTCGGCAAAAAGACATACGCGCAGACACAATTTGAAGAACATACCTGCTTGTACTGCATATATTATTCCCCTTACCATATCGTTCCGCAATGTTAGACGATAAAGTAGAAGAAATACACATACGCATTCTGGCATATCAAATTGTCGGCGTTGTGACATGAAAATTCATAAACATTTCATCAAATGAGAATGCGATGGTATGCTTGAATGGAAGGTACAGCGGACCTTCCATGTTACAAATGAAGCGACTTTTACAGTATTCATGAGTGATATGAAGGAAATTTCGTGAAGGTAAGAAACGCCACAGAAGAGTAATATCTACCGTAATAAGCTCTATGTTATTAATGACATAGGGTTATGTAACGTAGGTTAGTGCAAAGATGCAGAAAGTAAAGTCGCGCATAGTCCATTTCCAACAAACGTTCGACTGTGTTCCCTTCGAATTTAATTATCTTACCGACGTTGAAACAAGTTACGGTCATGTCGGAGTACATTGACTTTATCGCGTTGCAATGATAAATGTTCAACAAATGTGCTTATAATCGAGTTTTTGAAGTGACTCTCTCGCGAGATTCTGATTAAGCTAATCAACCATTAATTCAGTTGGCAAAACTGTTAATGGAAAACAAGTTAATGGAAACAAGTTAATGGAAAACAAAACGGAATTTGTTCTTAAGACGCGTGTAAGAAAATTCTCTCGTCCTTTCTGTGTGTAACTTATAATTGAATGATATATTAATTAGGTTGTGTAATAAATAATTTCGAACTTTTCAGCTGCAAAATACAGAGATTATATTTTTGCGTAGCTATAATTTTGTGGAACTATGCGTATGAAGGATGACGGAAAATTGTAGATCCAACTGACATGTGCATTGTTCCATAAAATTGTAACGACATAAAAATACGATCGTTTTATTTTATCTGAAAATTTTTATCTGAAATTGTCTATCGCACAACCTGTAATTATATAATACCATTAATTTGATATATCTCAGACACTTGGCATACGGTGTCATTAGATATTTTTTCCTTTGAACACTCTTCTAGATGTTTCACGCGTAGAGCGACGCTGCGTCTTTGCGCAAAATGCTCTCGTCTCAATAAATCGCTCATAATTACGAAAATGCAGATACTTCGGTTGAATTTTTTAATATACACCGTGGGTGGTGTGTGGCGGCCTATCGCGTGGTCATCGAATGCTGCTAAATTCTTGTATAACGTGTTCACCTTCTGTACAATCATACCATTGTATTTTTTGATGCTGACTCAATTCATGGATATCGTTCTTATCGTCGATAATATGGACGATTTTACCACCAACTCTCTCATGTTCATGACTATCGTCGCCGTTTGTTGCAAAGCCACAATCGCTGTGTTTCGTCGGAACGGGATCATCAGTTTGGTGCAGATGTTGCTAACAGAGCCGTGCAGACCTCAGGACGAGGACGAAGTGGCAATACAAATGAAATTCAATAAGTTCATTAGGTGAGTAAACGTAATTACGTTTGGCATTATGACCGACTGCAAGCCAACTCTCGTGCGTTTCTATTGATATTACACGGAGAAAAGAGTACTTGAGAGAAAGTACTTGAAAATTTATTTATGGGATGAAAGTTTATTTTACAGAAATAAACTTTACATCCCGCAAACACTTTGTCAAGTATTTCTTGTTCAATTTGATGAAGCGCGTGTAAATCTTAACTCTCCTTTTCCTTCTTTTTTTTCAACAATTTGTGGAAACTGACCTCGACTCCGCATTTAACAGATCATGGTCGATCAGATATTCGCTTCTAGCGACGAGTTCCGTCACGGGCGTCACAGTGAGGTCGGTGCTGAACATCATGCACGGTATCTTGCCGTACCGAGTATGGTTGCCGTACGATTCGAACGTGTCTCTGTCATTCTGGATCACGTCCATTCTACAAATTGTGTCCGTGATCTTCACCACGATCATAAACGTCGGCACGGAGACCTTGGTCTTCGGCTTCTTCTTGCAAACGTGCGCTCAACTCGAAATATTCGAAAAGCGTCTTAAGAAATTGGTAACTAATAAGAAGGAACCACAGCCAATATGTCCGCCGTCCTTCCCGTTGTACAAGACGGACACAGTGATATCGAAACACATATATCATCACCTCTGCATTTTCAAGTTAGTCACACGTCACGGATCGGCTCATGTTACAGCACCTGAATTAATTGGCCGATGTCAAGTTACCGCGTCTGGCGTGCATTGCAGATACGCGAAAACGGTGAACAACATATTTAATCAGGTACTTTTTGTCCAATTCTTCAGCAGTATATTGATATTATGTACGAGCGTGTATTACTTATCGTCGCATATCACGGAGTCCGAATCGGCGACTTTGATAGTGTACACCATTTGCATGTTTGTGCAAATCTATGTCTATTGTTGGTCCGGCAATGAAGTTATACTCAAGGTAAGATTATTTGTGCTCTGTCAGAATCTAATGTTCTGGCGGACGTATTCAGTGAATTGAGACATTAGGTTGATGCGAAAGACTCACTCACTTCCAAATAATTTAATCAATTGAATGAATAATACAAATAACTAAGAAATGCATGATACTCCGTACCTGAAAAAATTGCAATTCCCGAATTTTAATTCAGAAAATTCAAAACTTGACGTTATCGGTTGAAATCTTGAAAAGCTGAAAGTCAGAATCTTAATTGCACAGAAAGTTGAAATCTTGAAAATCTTAAAGAACTAAAAAATGTAAAAAAGATTAAATCGTTCAAAGAGAAATGAATTTCTAAAACAGTTTTTAATTTCTCCTAAAAAAATTTCTAATCTCAAATCGCTAACTCTTTGCGAGTAGGAATTAAATAGAAATACGGCGAATCTTTTGCACCAATCTAATATATTGTGTGTTCCTAGAGAATTTTTGGGGAAAACATGGAGATTTCAGATAAAGCTGGAAGTTCCAGTGATACGAGAGATAGCGGAATGTGTGTAATTCTCGTGATAAAATATTACAAATACTCAAAAAGTCTGGTAGAATCATATCGGGAGCTTCTTGATTCGAACACGCGCCCTGTTTCGTTCTCACAAATATCTCAGACTATCCCATTATCCTATCGCGCAATGATTACGGAGTGTTAAGTTTCAACGCTGAATTACTCTTACGTTTATGATTCGTATAACTAAAATCGATATTGAAATTGAGCTCAACACTTGGAGCCATTACGTAAATCATACAATAAAAATCAATGGCGCATGGAGGGTGCGAATGAAATAGCTCTCTCGGCCACACAGCCGATTGCAGCGTAGAAAAAGATCGATATAAATTCGCTCTACGACACGGGAGATGCGTCAGGTGTCCTGCACAAACGTGAAATCTCGCTTGCCGATCGTGTTTAACCATCTTGAATTAATCGACTATCAAGCCGCGTTTTTCATTCTATTTCTGTCATGTCGGCAGAGCGCGAGCATAGGAGACACGGTATATAAAATGGATTGGGTCTCACTATCGATTAAGGAGAAGAAGGATCTGCTGATGATCATGAAACGTAGTACGATTCCTATCAAATTCACTAGCAGCTTTCTGATAACCCTATCTCTCCAATCTTACAGCAACGTTAGTATCGATGTGTGGAGTCGGATCTACGTACAGACTTGTACAATACAAAATTTCGAATTTAGCCAGACAATCTGTCACATTATGTATTTCCTCTTTCAGATCTTGAAAACATCGTACTCGACGTACAACGTATTACAACGTTCCTGAGATGTAAACAGTAATCGAGAATGTATATTAGGACGAGAATGTATATTAACGATGATAATGTAGTTTTTGGTAAATCAATCAATGGCTGTGAATCTAAAGGTCTCTGTCTATCTCTATGCACTCACCTTTCAGCTCATCTTCTCAAATCAAAAGAGAATCCCGACGCTCTCGTCGATAATTAGAAATTATCCCGAGTCAAAATTTGGCAAAATACTGAATGTCTTAAAGAAAAATATATTTTGGGATTATTTAATATACAATTATCTCAATATTTCCTGCATTTAATCTTTACTCTTAATTTCCACATAATGTATTCTTTTTTTCCTGTTACTTTTATTTATTATTTTTATTAATTATTTTTAATTCTTCATCTTTAATTTCAGTAATATATTAATTGAATAACTTAATAAGAGCTACAAATATGTGAGATAAATAAATTGTTAATATCTTCTCTTATGACTCCTTCCTCTTCAACCCTTTAAATCTTCTAAAATTCTATCATAGTTTCCTATGTAAATAAAAAATATTATTTAAAGAATTATGCATAAAGAAAATTTGCTTTTTTATCTTCTCATATTAAGAATATAATACTTATTTCACACATCTGTATGTGTATGCTTCTGAGTAAGTTATGTAATTAATACATTGCTGATCAAAATTAAAAATCAAAATCGAACGCAAGTAAAATATTGAGATAACATATTAAATAATTCTAGAAATAAATCTTCCTTCGAAACTCGACCCGAAGAAAACGACAATAAACATTCCTTTATAGTGTCTCAAGTCAACAGTCTGTGTGTTATATATCGACATTCCCAATTGATCTTTCATATTCTGCTGAATTTGCAGGATTATGGAATTTGCAGTAATAAAAATAATAAAAGTAATAAAAATGGAATAAAAAATTTCCTCTTTCACGCACACTTGTTCGCACACTTTCCGCGATAGAAGTTAAACACAATCGAAGAGTTCAGACGATCCGAGTGCGGGTTGATCACGATACGATTTCGGTTTGAATGTTGTGTATCTAAAAGAAAATGCAATAATATTTCGTTGTACGTGCCAGCCAAACACTCCATGTATACTAAAGCTGACAAGCGTTCTTTCGGAACGCTCGTTATATCCAGCAAGCGAACGCACGGACGGTTAACCCGATAATCATCTCCACCCGCATTACGTATTATCCCTCCCGCTACATTTACTTTGCACTCATATGCGATAAAGTTAGGTTTTGTGGGAAAAATGGCTTTGTGCAAAGTTGCTTACGGCGACATGAAAATGAATGAATATTTGACTCGGTGGGAATGGGACGGCATGTTGACATGTAGCGAACGGCATCCCTCACATTCGTTACACGAGCGAGACTCGAGCCTGATAATTACAGTTTTCGCGCACGGCATTCAGCGGGAAATATCGTGCATCGTAAATAGAAGAAAAAACATACACATACAACTGCATACGTGCGCGACTTCATGTGGAATTATTAATAACCGTAATTAACAGCGTGCCGTAGAATTACGTGCACAGTGTAGGGTTACAAAGTTGATGCGAGCGAACCCTCACGTAACGAATCCGTTAGTTGTAATTTAGTTATCTCTACGACACACAATATAGTCCTGTTAGAACAGTTTGTGCTCGTAACGTGAAGAGTGTTGTATTGATTTCATTGTATAGTTGCGGAAAAATGTGAGAAACGATATCAGAAAAAAAAAGCAAGAGAAAATTCCTCAGAGGAAAAAAAAAAGAAAATCGCGCGATAAGCAGTATCGCGGCAACCGCGCGCTCGTTGAATCAGATTGTCATCATTTTTGTTTCACGATAGAATTATGCGACACGCGATTTTCACGGCGGACAAATAAAGCCTATCACGGTCACGCCTTGAGAAAAAATTTACTAAATTTCAAAAAAACTTTTGTTTGGATAGTACTGTGAAGATATTTGTTTAAATTAAGTAATTATTTTCTAAAATTAAATAAAGAAGTTTTAAATATAAATTTGTTTCTTTAATTTTAGAAAATAATTACTTAATTTAAACAAATATCTTCACAGTACTATCCAAACAAACGTTTTTTGAAATTTAGTAAATTCTTTTCTCAGTGCGGACAATTAGACTGAACGAATACTCAACGACAATTCATTCGCGGCAATTAACACGAGATATTCGACCAGCACGAGGTCCTGAAAGTATTTCTCCATTTAGATACCCACGGCATGTACACGGCATGAGAGAAAGAATATCTAAGAAATACTTATTTGGTGAGTACACACTAACAGCATATATTTACTTATACTAACATAAAATATTCTTCAAATAAGAAAATATACGTTTTCTTAAATCTTATGAAAATCGTACTTTTTTTGAAGGAGCAATTATTTATTCTATTTAAATAAAAGAACTTAGATTTAAGTAAATATGCTGTTAGTATCTACCAAATAAATATTTACTATTTAATTTTTAGATATTTTTTCTCTCAGCGTATGAAAGCGCGGTACTTTTCTGCGACGTATCGTCTCTAATTGCGAAGATGCAAATACTTCCGCTGAATTTTTTTATATATACCGTGGGTGGTGTGTGGCGACCCATCGAGTGGTCTTCGAACATTGCCAAGTTTTTGTACAACACGTTCACATTCGTCACGATCGTGCCGCTGTACTTCCTCATGCTGACGCAATTTATGGATATCGTGCTTATCGTCGATAATATGGATGATTTCGCGACTAATTCTCTCATGTTTATGACGATCGTTGGCGTTTGTTGCAAAGCCACTGTGGCGGTGTTACGTCGAGACGCGATCATTGATTTGATCGGGATACTGGTGAAGGAGCCGTGCAAGCCTCGAGATGAAACCGAAACGGCGATACAGGAGAAATTCGACGAGTTTATCAGGTACATTGAGAGAAAAAATAATCCAAGTGACTTGGATTAATGGCATATACACTGAGAGAAAGAATATCTAAGAAATATTTATTCGGTGAGTACACACTAACAGCATATATATTTACTTATACTAACATAAAATATTCTTCAAATAAGAAAATATACGTTTTCTTAAATCTTATGAAAATTGTACTTTTTTTGAAGGAGCAATCATTTATTCTATTTAAATAAAAGAACTTGGATTTAAGTAAATATGCTATTAGTATCTACCAAATAAATATTTACTATTTAATTTTTAGATATTTTTTCTTTCAGCGTATGAAAGCGCGGTACTTTTCTGCGACGTATCGTCTCTAATTGCGAAGATGTAAATACTTCCGCTGAATTTTTTTATATATACCGTGGGTGATGTGTGGAGACCCATCGAGTGGTCTTCGAACATCGCCAAGTTTTTGTACAACACGTTCACTTGGGAATAATCCAAGTCCCCAAATCCAAGAAATAGTAAATATTTTTTTCTAGGTGATAACAGTAATTTTGATGTATGCAAATATGTCTTTATGGATATCAATAATATGTTTACTTAAATCTAAATTCAAGAGAATCAAGAAAATGTATATTTGGAATCAAACAAAGATGAATCCACGCGGCTCAAACCCGGAAACCAAATCTAATATGCATGAACACCGCAAAAGCCTAAAAAATCAAATGTATATTTTCTTTTTTAAAAAAATTTTCTATTAGTATGAGTATATACAAGGTGTCTCACACTCTCCTCCGGACATTTTGTGGGGACTTAGAACAGGTTGAGGTGAACATAAAAGTCCTATACCGTTTTGCGATATTCGCAATAATTATTGAAATATTAATTGTAGAAAACTTGTAAATAATCATGCAGAATATGGTAAATGAGTTATACTAGTAGTAGCGACGATTGCCGTCGTGTACTTATACTTTAGGTAAAATTGAATAAAAAAGTCCTCTACCATTTTCCAAATAATCACAAAGATTTTTAATTATTAATTAAAGAAGATTATTGCACGATTTTGCGTGATAATGCACTCATCTTTTTTAATTAATAATTAAAAATCTATATGATTATTTGCAAAATGGTAGAGGACTTTTATGTTTAATTTGACCTAAAGTATAAGTACACGACGGCAGTCGTCGCTATTATAACTCATTTACCATATCCTGCATGATCATTCACAAATTTTCTACAATTAATATCTCGATAATTGCGAATATCGCAAAACGGTATAGGACTTTTATGTTCACCTCAACCTGTTCTACGTCTCCACAAAATGTCCGGAGGAGAGTGTGAGACACCCTATATGTGTGTGTATCCTCATACTGACGCAAGTATATGCTGAGTATATATCCAGTGAACACAACGTTACATGTAACAACGTTACTAATTAGTTGTAATTTCCTACTCAACAATGTAACTGTTATATAACACGTATGTTACATTGTTAAATGAGTATGTTCACTGAGTATATGTGTGTGTGTGTGCGCGTGCGTGCGTGCGTGTGGGTGTGTGTGCGTGTGGGTGTGTGTGTGTATTATTAAGTATCCTCACTGCGAATAAGTACTTACTGTTTCTTAGATATTTTCCCTCTCAATGTAGGGATCGTTCATTCGGCGCAACAATATCAGTCCGCACAAGCAATATCCGTCTGTGACGTTTTCAGGTCGTGCTCAATAAAATACTCGCTTTTGGCGACAGGTTCCATTATGAGCTTCACGATAAGATCGGTGCTGAACGTTGTGCAAGGTCACTTACCTTACAGAGTGTGGCTGCCGTACAACTCGAATCAGACCCCGTTGTTCTTGATCACGTCGATCCACCAGATTATCACCTTGATTTTCGCCACTATCATTAATGTCGGCACGGAGACTCTGATCTTCGGTCTCTTCCTGCAGACGTGCGTCCAGCTCGAGATCTTCGAGTGTCGTCTGCACAAATTCGTGACGCATAAATCGGCGCGCTGTCGGGAGTACTTCTCGCGCGGCTCGTCGGATAAAGTGGAAGCGATAATGTCGAAATATATACGTCATCATCTCAGCATTTACAAGTTGGTCGCATGTACACGTCTATCCTTTTGCGCATCTGCAAAATTACGTGTAACGAGAGATAATATAATGTAACATATAATATTTGTAAAAATAATATTACATATTAGGTCCGTTCGCGTTGCACTCTTGACATTTTTAAGAGCTGAGCGCAATAAAAGGAATAAGGAACAGGGAACAGAGAATAAGGAAAAAGGAATACTGAAAAGAAGAAATAACGCTATTCCTTTGTTCCTCTATTTTGCGTTGATGAATTAGGTTTCATATTTTAATATTGAATTATTCCCTATTTTCTGTTTCTTGTTCTCTATTCTCAATTTCCTATTCCTTATTCCTTTATTATGCTCAGTCCCTTACACCTAACGCCCGTTGTACACAGGCCTCTTTTTAGAAAGAAGAGTTTTTATTAGATATCACTCATCGTGTCTGCAACGGACATTAGATGTAAAAGTGTCGAAAGTATAAACAACACGAACAAATCTATTAGATGCTTGCAAATATTTGTTGGACTCTCGATAATTTTATTGACTCAAAGGATAAGTCATTTCAGAGGATTAAATATTGGGTTTGTATTAACAGTCATTACTTGAAGTTTGTCTCGCATAAGATACTTAGATTTTTATTCTGAATTAGATTCAATCGAATTGATTTAGTTGAATTGTATGATATATTATGTGATTGTATAATCTGTAATTGCGACTCAACTGAAAAACTCTCATCTAACTCTAAACTAAATCTAACTCAAATCTAAATATTCTTATTTAAGAATAGTTTTGAGTAACTATTAATATGAGCCTTGGATTCGTATTAATAATCGTTATTTGAAATTTGCTTTAGGTGAGATACTCAGATTTAAACTTAGAGTTAAATATTATTCAACTAAAATCACGATTAGAAACATATACATTATATGATTCAAATAAAAAATTCAAATCTAGCTCTAAATTCAAATTTAAGAATCTCACGTGGGACAATCCATATAGCACAAATCTCTAAAAGACTTCTTAAAGAGTTCTAAAAGAGTCCCAAGTCCTCCAGAACACTTTTAGAATTCTTTAAAAAGTCTTTTAGAGATTTGTGCTATATGGGAAGCTTCAAGTAACTATTAATACAGGCTCTAGATTTGAAGCTAATGCATAATGATAACAGATACTTTTATTAAACATATCTACATAGAAAAAATATTGTAGTAATAGTTACTCTAATAGATAAGATAAAATAAAATGTGCAATACTAAACTGCGAAAATATAATCTCAAATACCTCCGCATCGCTAAGCTAACATGACATTATTCCAGGTATGCTAAAATGTTAAATAGCATATTCAACCAGGTACTCTTCTTTCAATTCTTTGGGAGCATACTGGTATTGTGTACAAGCGTGTATTACATGTCGACACACATTACTGGGTCCGAGGCTGCGACTTTGCCGGCGTACACTATTTGCATGTTCGTACAGATCTTCGTTTACTGCTGGTCTGGAAATGAAGTTATACTCAAGGTGAAATCGTTCACACCCCAAAACCCTCTCCTCTTGTTTCACATTCCAAAGACCATTCCCGCAGCACGCGTCTACACACGGGGGCGACCTAATTAAGAAATTGACGTAACGTTATCGTAAAGTAATCATCTTTATTGTTATGCGAACAGAGTGCGAACATAGGAAGTGCGATATATCATATGAATTGGCCTTCGCTATCGATCGGCGACAAGAAAGATCTTCTGATGATAATGAAACGTAGTACAGTTCCTATAAAGTTTACTAGTAGTTTTCTGATCACTTTCTCCCTCGAGTCTTATAGCAACGTTAGTAATACTGTTGGAATTATAATGGCATAAGTACTTATAATTAACATGCTTTGAAGCATATATATATATATATATATATATATATATATATATATATATATATATATATATATGTCTATAATATTGACAGGGGGTATCTCTTGTTTTATATTACAACTATCTTTCAGATCCTGAAAACATCGTATTCGGCATTTAACGTATTACAACAATCTTGAAACATGGACAATCGTAGATGTATTTGAACGTAACGTCGTAGTTTTTTAATAAATTTAATGACTATGTAAATATCAACTTTCTGCTTATCTCTTTTCTTCTATTAGTCTCGATGTTACACCTTAACGTTCTCTCTCATCATTCTATCAAACTGGTCTGCACCCTAGGACGAGGGAAAATGAGTCGAGATAACGGATTTACTTCCTGTTTTTATGTGTCGCCCTGATAATGCACAATGGTGCACAATATATAAGAAAAATGACGGTCGTTTTTCTTATCTTTAAGAACAAGTACATGCTCATTGACGATGATGTAGCGGAACGGAGTTCGTAAATGATTGGTAATCAGTGAATACATAATGCAATAATCACAAGTTTTCCTGACATGTATATATAACAATACAGATTTAATAAGTGTTTTGTGATATATATTGAAGGGGAAACAATCATCTTATAGTACAATATAATTGTTTAAACTATTAAGGTAAATGGCATCAGAAACACTTTCCTTGCATGTACACATGATTACAAAAAAGTTTGAACACTTTTCTTTCTCGATGCAATTTAGAACGCAGCTGATGGTCTGATAAAAAAAACATATTTTCAATTAAATTAATTCCCAAGAGTTCTTTCAATAAAAAATCGGCTGCGTTCCTAATTGTAATTGAAGTAATAAAAGTGTTCAAATCATTTTGAAATCAAATATACATATATATAAGTTTGAACAATTAATCTCGCATATTCCTTGCAAGCTTTGGTATGCTTATGTATAAAAAAATAATCTTTGATATATATATCGTGGTTTTCGCAGTTTTCAGCCAATTAGTACCAAAAATTGGCACATAATATGTAGGCATTACATTTGAAACAGATATCACATACATTATGCTTGCAATAGTAATATGACGTATTGGCACCTACGAGATCTATATGTAAAATAGTCATCTGTTCGTAATGCTACTAAACTACAGAGAGTAATGCACATGCCCACTGATAGTTTTACAGTATACATAAGTCTGGCTATTTCTTCCCTTTTTCTTATTTAAATATCCAATGCAGAATGGTCCATCAAATTTCTCAACAAACTGCTCGACATTCTGAAAAAGAACATGTATCAACTTCAACGATCACACATGTATAGACTTTTTTGTTTTTAATGTAATCTAGTTAGCACTTTTTTTATCCTTAACGTAATGTCAACGTCACATAAAGAGAGTGATATTAACATTATGTTTATACGAATCGTCTAATGACTCTACAATGTGTCTAAAATCTGAAGTCTAATGTATACTGATATTCATGCGATACATACTTCTTCACCATATGATCGTAAATGTAGGATGGAATTACTGTCACTGTGATGATATTTCCACCTTTTTCAATTTCTGCCGTAATTTCCTTATCCTTCATCCCAACAACATTCTGTAAAATATCAAATTACCTAGGATTACTATTTATGTTATTAGATATGTGTGAGAAAATAGTAAGAATAGAAACTTTGCAAACCTTTCCATTAATTTCGAGTATTTGATGGTCAGTTAGTAGTCCATTTCGTGCAGCTGAAGAATCTTTAATTAAAGCGATTATCTTTCCATTCTTGAATTGAAATCCAATGTAACCCGTACTATCTTTGAGCATTGTGACAGTGCGTTCTAGTGGCCTGCAACAAAATTACAATTGTTACCAATGTGATAATTATTCGCAATGAGAATGTATGAGAGCTTCGAAATGAAAGTTTTGAAAATTTTAACCTATCACGTATGACCACTTTAATTCCATTGGTATCCGCGTTACGGAAAAACTTGTGCACTTGATCCATCGAGTATCCAGCAACACACACTTCATTGATACTTAAGATCTGATCACCAAAACGTAATCCGGCCATTGCAGCTGGAGAATTCTGGCTTACAAGACATACAAAAATGCCATTGTTCACAGAATGTACTCGAACACCAACTTTTCCATCCTTATCCTTACATAATATTAGCTGTGAAAAAAAAGAACAATAAAGTATTGATTTCATATTTTCCTAGTATTGAACAAAAAACTTTTAATTCATAGAAATTTAGATGATATTCTGATGTATATAGGTTAGCGATTAGATATGAGGCAAAGAATTTTTGAACATATTGAAACTTACTTCTCTGATGCCATTTGTTACGACAGCTTTCTGCAAAGCCATTGATTGTCCTGATAAAGGAGCAACCATTCCTGATGATAGATTACTTGTCTCATATGATGAAATTCCCATCTGAAATTATTATACATATAACGTTGTTGATTGAATGAATTACAGATTCAAGCTTCTCCTTAATAAAGTCATTGATTGTAACGAGTATAAATCTATAACATGAATTGTATAAATGTAAATTAGGATGAAACATTCATTCTCATCATAATATAATGTTGATACTTGTCACTTACATTTGGACGTGTTGCAAGTGCATATTCAGGCATATTTTGTGCAATAGCTTCTTCACTTAGTTCAAGTCCCATGTAATCTCCCAAGGATGGATACAATTGCGATATGGAAGGAATTTCAGCAGGCGCTGAAGGAACTGCAGATCCTGTTGGTATTGGTAGAGGGACATATTGTGATTCAACCTGCGCCTGAGCCTGTAATGTTATCTTATTTAGTATAATTATTTATTTATAAGTGACAGGTGTTTATTTGTATGACCTTACCTTCATTAAATGATCCACTTTCATATCTTCCAATGTAGGGTAGAGAGACATTTTGGCGATTCTTTATATACTTTTATTGCCTTATCTTTTCTTTGTTGAAGTAGCAGATAATATATATTCAATATGAAACAAAAGATCAGAGATAAAATGCTTAAATTTCTTATCTTATTCTGTTTCTGATTTTATCAGAATGACTTTTCATTATAAAAACAGTAAATATTTTATATTATTGTGCTTTAATAATTAGACTTTGTATTTGTTAATAGTGTAATGTTACTATAATGTTACAAGATACAAATAATTATATCAGCTCTATTCATTTAATAGATAATACACAATATTTATTTATATATTTTTACATGTTTACTTATGTCTATATGTCAATATTTAATTATATCTATTCGTATAAAAATACATGGATATATTGAGGTCAAATTTTTTTTATATTGTGGTATGGAGAATGCAGAAATTATATTCTAACAGAAATATTTTTTATTTTCTTTTATTACTCACACCCCACAGAATCTGTACTAATAAAGTATAGGAAAAATTCTTCGAGTTATTGATTCACAGTAACACATATTTTTATAGAAAGGGAGGAGATTTTGCTGTTAGAGGAAAGGATTATTCATACATGATGACATCATATGTTGGAGAAATGTATATTCACTCTATCTTAATTTTCACCTACATTTCTACATAATATCGTTGTGACACATTTACTAAATGCGTTAAATGCGTCAAATGCGTAAATATGTTGCAGTTAAAATAGGCAGGATATGCTCACTCATAACTGAAAGATTGATAACAAAAGCCCACATACCAATATCATGACGAATATATTGACGAGCATATAATGAATATTCTATAATTTAAGATTATGTAACTTACCAATCAAATTGGATTTGAAGTGTCAACTCACTATTGCGAATAAAAAACGCCCCAGATAACAGTTCAACGATACCCTTTTTTGCGTACTTGCTGCAAACTGTCAACTCTATGAAACAATTGTGTATCTCGTGGACGTTTACCGACAACTATAGATCGACTCTAATAACGACGCTGCCACTCGCGCACGACTACAAGGACGAACTTATGGCGAATTCACATAGCGTCCACATGAAATCAGAAGCGAAATGGGAGCGACGCTACATTTTATTGAAGAATTTCGCAACACATACGGTGTTCAAGGAATGTTCCCTTAGTGGATCTCAACAAAGTTCATTATTTGGCTTTATTTAAGCTTTTATTTTTTTGTAATAGAAAGAGATGAATATCTTCTATCCGATTTGCTATATCACCGATGACATTAAAAAACAAAGCACCGGCTGACCTGCCGCCGACTTGTACTACTTGAGCGAAGAGGTCTCTGACCGCAACATCGTGATACGATCCAGTAAGCGCTACAAGTGCTTTGTAACGTTTTTACTTCTTTCTCTTTCTTCATCCGAATCCGAGAAATAAATGCTGCGTTCGGAAACGTCACTCGAGTACTCTCCCTCTCTTTTTACCTCACTCTTGTATTTCGCTCACTCCAACGGCTATCGTCTAGTAGTATGCACACAGTGTGTTTTCGAACGCAGCCAGAATAAAAAAGAAAAACGCTGCGCACATTTGCAGCGGTTACTGGCGCCTCGTGATGGAGAATCATTAGCGTGCCTTACAGAATTTAGCGCGGGCAAAATATTTCGCTGCATAATAACTTCTTCTCGGTAAATTTTGTTAAAACAATCATCAATGATAACCATAGAAATACTATATAAATATATAAATTTCACCAAAAAGGTATTCTATACTTTATGGTAGATCTGCGTATTTTCTCAAAATTAGTGGTTTTACTTTTACCTCGTCGATATTCTGCCGTTCAACCGCTCTATTTAAAAATGGGATATATCCTAACCACATATAGCATTAAATGTAAGTCCTTTATTTTCAATTGCTGTTATGTTTTTATAATACTGTTGTTTTAAGAATATCACAAGAATTGAGAACTATGAAATTGTAAAATATATTTCACAGATTTTGTATTTTATACTTGAAATTATGCGGTTTTAATGGTTCTCAACTTATTCTTACATGGCAAATCTTGTACATATCCCATATAGCACAAATCTTTAAAAGACTTCTTAAAGAATTTCAAAAGTGTTCTGGTGGACTTGGGAACTCTTTTGGAACTCTTTAAGAAGTCTTTTAGAGATTTGTGCTATATGGGATACTGCGAAATATTCCTGACTAATTAGATCATTGCTCAAAAATTGCACAATAGCCTTTTTTCGTTTCTTTCGTCATATCACTTTATAATTCGCTTAGATTTTATCTAAACTTCGTCCTACAAACTCTTCTGGAATAACAACAAACAACTATTTATCTCTTGTTTCATTACGTCGAAAGAATGAATAATCGCGCGTAATTAATTAAAACGCGCAGAATCCCCGCGATGAAAGAACGAACCGTGGCGTCATCTGTCAACACGCCCGCACCACTCTCCGCGTACTCGCGCTGCGCTGTTCGAGAAGATGGGATTTTAATCGGAAACGCGTGGACGCGCGGGCTTCACGTCGAGCTGTCATTTAATTCGCGATTGAATAACCAGTTTTCACGCTGCTGCTCGTAGTGCGGTCAAAACACCAAAGTTAACGACGTGGAGGAGGAGCGCGAGGCATCGCTCGGCAGAATGGACACTGGGATCTCGTAGCGAAACGCCAATTGAAACGCACGAGACCGAGGGCAGGGTGCGATAGAGAGACGGAGACAGAAAGCGAGAGAGAGGAAGAGGGAGATAGGGAAAGCGAGAAAGCGTGAGAGAGCGAGACGGAGCGGGCGAAGCTGACGAAAGGAAGAACGGAAAGTGCGGACGCAGACGCTGGAAAGGCAGCAAGTAGAGTTGTAAAGTACGCGTCCGTAACAGAGTGCTCGTCTCGGCAAGCTGGAAAACACGCAGTTTCCCAGCGGGAAAAAAATGAGAACGTTCTCTTCGTAATTGGTAAGCGCATTAGTAACCGTCGTCTTATCTAATTAGTCAAGTCGGTTGCCGGACTCAAGAGGCACTTTCTTTCTCTTGCTCTCTCTTTCCCTCACTCGCTCCTTTCTCTCATCACTCTCTTTCTCTCACTCACTCATTTACTCTCTTTCTCTTTCCTTCTTTTTCTTTCTCTGTGTATGTGTAGCTGGACGTTTGTCAGGCGACTGTTTCACAGCTACGCACAATAGGCAGCTATTTATCGATTTTTCGGTAGCGTCGAAGCGAGATTCATGCCACGGTAGGAGGATCTCAGGATCACTCGTCCGCGATCGCGATCTCTGTTTACCTGGCGTGTCGCTCCCGCAGCGCGACTCGAAGCTACCGAGCTGTCAAGGATTGTGAACGATGTTTTAGGTTATGTTTGTTGTGCGACATCGTATTGTTTAACAACTTGTCAGAGCCGATATTTGATGTGTCATCTCTCGATACATATGTACCGCATAGGTCCGCGGCATTTGCGTCAACACGAAGATCGTGCGTTGTTCGATTGTCGCTGTCGAGCACGCGTGTCGAAATTTGACAGTGCATTGTTTCCCCAACAGTGGAACCACAGGAGGAGGATTTAGACGCGTCGCTCAAGAGGGTGGGAAATGTACGGCGCCGAGAGGGAGGAGGTGTCCGAAAGTTGGTTACACACGTATGATTTGAGCAGCACGATGATTCCCAACGTGAGCACGGCGCTCGACGATGAGGAGCACTTCTGCAAGCTCATTCTATACAAGGAGATTAGAGATTCCAGGTATAGCACCGTAATCGGTATACCACTACGTTATAATACAAATAATTCGACGAATAATGGACGATGAGTGAACTACTATATCTTGCGTGACATCCGATTTCAAAACAGTTTGAACACTTCTCTTCTTACAACGCAGCTTGGAACGCAGTCGATTCTGCCGCTCCAATGAGAATTTAACTTTTGGAAATTAAGGAGTTTATTTACTTGAAACAAAATTATTGGAATTGTACGAAAATTTAAAGTAATATTTATCATAGCAAAACACATTTGTGTTGAAAGTTTCATGCTATTTGTCTGCACTATGCATAAGAAATTTCATCCTGAGTATCGCAATTTTGCACACATAATCTTATGGTGAAAGCAATATAGCTGACCATTACCATCATTACAGAATAATTTACTCTATAAAAAATAATATTATTCAAGTGTAAAAAACTTACTGTTACATATGTGGCACCTCAAAAACATGAACAAAGAATAATATTCACTATATTGGTTTTGTGTAATGGTTGACTGCAGGCCAGAATATCTGTTTTTTGCTTTAAGTAATATTATAGTGAGTGAACATGTCAAAGTAGTATTATTAAAATAGTTTTAAATTAACATTCATTATTTGGATAGTGAAATTAATATATAAGAATATAATTTTGTTTGATAAATAGAGAACTATGAATAGCTCTGTTGATAAGAATGAAAATATATTTCTTGAGCATACACACCTGATACATGAATTTTTTAATCAAAAATAGGTTCTCTTGGACTATTGACTGCGTTCTAAACCAAAGTGTATATTTCAAGACTATGCTTACATTATTTATTGCTTATATATTGTCTAGACAATGTGTAGAATAAACCATACAATTTTTGCCATTCCTTTTAGTCATTGGCACTTTGGAGAAATTTGGTTTCTCATGCAATCAATATTGCAGTTAAACTTCTTGCCTGTAAACTTTAGCTTCAAAAGAAGTCTTCATAACTAAAACTGTGAACAGATGCAAAATACTGGTTGCAAAACACTAGATTAGTTTAAAGTGGCAATAACTAAGGGGAGTGCTAATAATTTTGTAATTTATCCTGCATAATCTTTCATGTCATGTAAAGACAATGTAAATTATGTAAAACATTATAAATTATATTAAAATATACAAAAAAAAGAGGAGAGAGAACAACTATGTTATGAGACAGTGACCATATCTTTTGATATTAATTATATTATGATATTTAAAAATAGATAATTGTACAAAATTTTCAAGTTTTAATTCATATAATGTAACAAATTGGTAGATTAAGCTCTGAAGATAAGAATGTAATTAAAGAATTCTCTGACTCATTCAGAAAATAATGTTTATAAATTTACATTAGAGTTCCAAAGAGAGAGAGAGAAAGAGAGATTAAATAACAATATAAACTCTTCTTAAGTAATTTTTTAGCAAGAGCCATACATTCCTTAAATATGAGATCAATAGATTATTTTTTCTCTACATAAACATCTCATAGTTACATTATCTACATCTATAGACGTAGAATATCATAATTTAAACATAAATGCCCTGGAACTCTGCATCGAAGATGCTTTCAAACTACATCGAAGAAAGAAGTGTTCAAGCCGCATTGAAATCAAGTGTACGTGTGTGTGTGTGTGCGTCTGTTGTTTTTCAGGGTACGAATATGGGACGTCGTCATCTTAGTGCCGAATCTCTTGTTCCTCCTGTTCATCGCCATGCGATTCAACAGAGCGAGGCTTAAATTGCGCGCAACGAGTAGTCCGATATTCTTAGCGTTTTACGGTCTCGTCATTTGTAACGTTGTGATATCGGTGGTGCGCTGTGTAGTGTCCATGACGGTGAACGCGGCGGCAACAGTCGGCGGTAAGGCCGACAAGGTGCTTTGGGTCACAGTTAGATTTTTTCTACTATCCACCGAGATGAGCGTAGTTATATTCGGTTTGGCGTTCGGTGAGTGAAATAGCTGCTTTTAGTTCACGAGCATAGATGTGTGTACCTCAGGCTGACAAGTAAATTTTCTCGCGATCCTCCTTAGGCCACTTGGACAGTCGCTCCAGCATTCGCAGAGTATTGCTCGCTACGTCGCTCATAGCCTTGGCATTCACGATTACTCAAGGAACGCTAGAGTTAGTCTTGCCGGATGATACGTTTCACATTCCCAGCAGGGACTTCTACGTGTTCGGTCACGGTGGAATGATGTTTTGGTTTTGCAGCAGTCTCGTTTTTACCACGGTACGATGCTTGCGCATACTATTATTATTAGGCTGGCGCAAAAGATTCGTCTGCAATAGCAGGAACTTCTAAAAGATGTCTTAAGGACATCTTAAAGACGTCTAAAAGATGTATATAGGACGTCTTTTAGGGCGTTTTAAGACGTTTTTTAGAAATTTCTGCTAGCTGAGTCACGTTGAAATAAAGTAGAAAACGAAATTCTCCAATTTCGAAGGATTAATAATTTTTACCAATTAAATAAACATTGTCTCAGTATTTTTTGTTAAACATCTAACACGAGGATTTCCTCTTTTGATACAAACTTTTTACAAAATTTTAATTACAATTTTAATTAAAAAATAACAAGTATCTCGCACCAATCTAATACTCTCTGTTAAATAAGTGAACATGTGTCATTAAGATCGTTAATGTCGCTTTCAGATATATCTTTTTATATTGATACTGCCATGGACACGGTTGCGGGACCGTCTAGCCCTTCCTAGTAAGTAGTTATCAATGTGAATTCATGATCACACCTCGTTATCAATCGCAAATGCTGCGTACCTGCTCTAACGCGTCTCTCGTTACAGCACGGAAAAGCTTTTACGTTTATGCCGGAACGTTAGCGACGTTGGATCTAGTGCAGTCGATCGGCGCTGGTTTCTTAAACTACACGCAGAATCCAGTGGGCCTGTGCATCGTGGATATCACCGCAGCAGTGTATCTAACTCTTTTTACTCCTTTGGTTTACCATACATTCCTGTCGGAATTCTTCGGGTAAGCTTCGTCCTCACTCGGCGATATATTTCTCGCATAAGAACTGTCGAGAGATCATGGCTGATAAATGTCGGGAATCCGCTCTGTTTTAGGGTTTCGCAACCGTCGATAATGTTCTCTTACAAGGCGCAAGTGGACGACGCAATGGACGAAGACACGGTGTCGTTACCGCATCAACAGAGTTTCTCGTCCTTGAAAACCGACAGCGATTACATCTATCAGGTCCATACTCCTTCTATTCACATGCCATTGTATGACTCCCAAGCATCGAAATCGTTTATTTCCAAGCAAAGAGCTTCTCTCTACTCCCTGACGTCGCCTAAAGACCCGAAAAGTAGCGACGCGAACCCGTACAACTCGCAAGTAACATTGTACCGCTCAACATCCGGTGTTAGGAGCTTAGGTAGGCGTCTCAGCGCGGAGAAAGGCACCTCGGAGTTCACGAATTACCCCTTGATCAAGTCCGATTCTCAAAAGAGCTCGCCCGACCTGAGATTCTCCGGTCCGAGTTGGAAGGCCGTATCCGTGGCACACATTAAGTACGGCGGTCCCAGTAGCGTCTCGAATCTACTTCTCTCGACTGAAACCGCTAGTAACTTCCTCTATAAGCCGAAAGCGAACGACAGCAACGTTAATCTGTTCTCTCAAACGAGGAAGAGCAGCTTAGAGAGCACTTTAGACAAGATCAGCGTGGATCACATGGTCGAGCGCGTCCCGCGCGAGTGTAGTAGTGCTTCCGCGGATGTTACCCCGGCACCAGCACTCGAGAATACATTGCAGTCCATCCTGGACAGCGGCACGCGCGATATCAATACGGAAGACCCGCAAGAATTTCCGCTAAAACAAGCAAGCGACACCGACGCTTTGGTGAAGGGTAGCGCCGCCAGTATGCATTCGAGTCATTTAATGATAACGAGGCGTCACGACGCGGAATTCCCCGAGATCCGCTCGGACGATATCTCGCCCGACGTATCCGCGGAGGTGTCGAATGTAACGCAGCGGTTACTTCCTAGATCAACTTCCTTCTGCACAGTCGACACTTACAGAAAGAACAGAAACGATTCGAAGGAACGAGAGTCGGGCGGTTTGAACGATTACCTGTTGTCCGTAACGTCCCCGAAATTCCAGAAGCATTACGGCAAAGATGAGACAAGACGCGATCTCGAGTTCTCCCGTGATCATCCAGAATCCTACGCGCAAACCGAGTCTTTGTAAATAATTCCTATTACCTACGACGATCGTCACGTCGCTGTAGCTGGTCTACTTGTACATATTCGTAGATAATTTTACGTTGTTGATTTCATTGGTTGGTTTTATCGATTAACACGGAAATTGAGACGTATTATATCGGCCGGGGGAGGGTTGTTGCCATTATATACGTCTACTTAGTAATCGCTAAGTTGTGCATTATAATACATATTGGTGAGGTACCGCACGTGAGCTTTATCCCGACTAACTTGTAAATACTTAGCATGTTTAGAGATATCTTAATTAAACGTATATTGATGTAGTCAATGCACTTGGTTTTATTTATTTACACTAACTTGGCGACCTCACAATGGCATCGCCTTGGCAATGGTGCATACACCCTGCTTTTTTTCTCTTACGCGGAAACGACAGCTGGAATCTCGTGAATATTTCTTGAAATGACATTTCGTTGCGCGTGCGTGCGTCTGTGTGTGGGTGTGTGCACTGTTCGCACCGAGCTTCTCAATGTCGCGATGATACACAAGCGCGATTATTTTCTCGTTTTCACGAGCGTCTTTCACGGCTCGTGATTACTGCAGAATTCAATATTGCTGAGTATATCGATGCATCCCCCTCACGGGACTCTTTTGTATGTACAGACACTTCCGGTGAATCGCGCACGCAGAGACATTGTAGCCATTGTATATGTTAGCTTCGCAGTAATCTTCCTTAATTAAGAGCTTGCATCGGAGAGAACGCAAAGCGGAATGTTCTTCTTCTTTTTGCAGAATCACAGTGTTTATGACTCGACCCAATTCGACACGAACGCTACGCCGATCAACCCGCTCTATGCGGCATCGCTGCAAAGTCCAGATAGTATTACCGGTTACAGTATAGACAGTCAAGAAACGCAGAACCCGCCGAATGGCTACCAACAATGAACCGTCGTAAATGTCGGCGCGGTGTGCGTGAAACGAAAGAACCACGAGCGAAACTGGATATGAACGATTATCCAACGATCAAGTCGCAATTCTGCAAAGAGCTTCGTGAGATCCTCCCTGTGAAGGAGGATCAGGAGAATCTGGTATTCTCCTGCTCGGCTAAAAGTGAAGGGGAAAAATCTGAATCGGCAACAGAGTAGCTCTGGTCGCTGTGAGCCTGTCGAAGGATTCTAGTCGCTCTTGAATACTTTAGGGCCGTAATACACAATACGAATGCTTTCGGTCTCCATGTGATAGTTGGCGTGCCCAACGTGATTGCGAAACGCTGGGAGAAACCGTAAAGAGCAAAAAAAAAGAAACAAAAAGAGAAGAGAAGAGCTCATTATCTCTGTATGATTTTTAGTTCGCTTTACTTAGGACATTTCCGCGAGAAGCAATTAGAGATCAATATCGATTCGTGTTAGTTTTGTACTTACATCGATCGTAGTAGGTCGTCGAGAGATTCTTGTTGCACACGAGAATAGAATTTCTTTTCGCCGTTAAGTATATTTATTAGCGTCACGCGCATTTGTCCGGGAAGTACGAGATGTATAGGTCGTCCCAAAACTCGCGTGCCCTCTCTCTCTCTCTCTCTCTCTTTCTCTGGAAATTCTCACTCGTCGAAGAAATTTCTGTTTGGGTGAAGTTTAGTCGAGCCGAATCTCGAGAAGGACGGGACCACTTCGAGGAACTTCCCGTCGAATAGCAACGAGAGAGCCGTCGAGAATCATCGAGAGAGATCCTCTCCACCGTTCTGCGTGCGTCGAATCTACCTGACGCTTCAAGCGCGATAAGGGGGAGACGTCCGTACGCAACCTTTTGGGACATCCTACATATCAAGTGCGATAATCATCCGCGCGGCACATTATTTTCGTGTCGTATTGTTTTGTATCGTGAATTGCGGGGCCGTCGTGTCCCGGTGGATTCCTAACAAGCGAGAGAGAGAGAGAGAGAGAGAGAGAGAGAGAGAGAAAGAAAGAGAGACAAACAACTTAGAGATTTAACTTTTGGAAAACTTGCTTATCGTTTCTCCGTCCTTCTCATTAAAGTGGACGTCGTGCCGCACGAAGGTCCGCCCGACTGCGCGCGAAGCGGCAAGCCGGACACTCGCTATTTTCCTACTTTTGCATCGAAAATCATTAGGTCGATTAAGGACAATAGGAGTCATTAAGATAATAAATGTCGCGCAGAGATAGGGACAAGTTAGACTCTTAAGCGGGGCGGGGCGAGATGGCGTGAGGGGTGAACTCTCTCTCTCTTCAGAATGCTCCAATAATTATTACGAAGACTCCATCCATGGTGTATATACATGATCTGTACTCTAGTGTGTAAAAGGGAGCGTACTATTTATATATATATATTAATATATACATATATATACATACCGCGCGCGCGCGCGTGTATATATATACATGTAAATATTTATTTATCGATATTATATACGTATCTATGCGTAAGCGTATCGTCATTGAATTCTGGCGAATTCCGGCGGGTCCTACGACACCAACTCCTGCGTCTTTCAAATCAATCAACGGATGCTCATCGGTAGCGCGCAGGAGGGAAGATGAAAGAAAAAAAAAAAAACGAAGGTTAGGTGAAAAATTAGTGGTTTAGGGTGTTCTCGAAGACGCGTCTCACGAGGTTGTAACGTAGACATTTCTCCTCCTCCCCCGTTCTCTCTCCAACGCGAGAGAAAAGAAACGGTGAGAAAGGGGAAGAGTTGGGAGCGAGGGAAGCTAGTAGTGACGTAACTACTGTGTATTTTCTAGTGTTAATCCACTCGAATCTTGTATATAAATTTATGCGATACGAAACGGTATGCATGGAACGATGTTAACACGACGAGTCTCTCTGTCAATTTGCAATTGCTTTTTACCATCTCCGCGAAATACTCACCCTGCACTCTCCTCCCACGAACGTTATCCGCGATCGTCTTACCATGTGATTCTTTTGTAAGCATCGAGTGCAGTGTATAAGGCAATATTGTGACCGCGTAATGCAACTATATTTAATTAAGAAGAGGAGGAGGGAAGATGAAATAAATTGCATTTCAATGTACCGCCTCGCGTTTTCTCGTGCATCTCATTCACACATACCCGACTTGTCCGCGACGAGGAAATTCAGAAAAAGAAAGAAAAAAAGAAAGAAATACTGATCCTTTTTTCGTCTTTTATTTAGAAACTCGCTGCTAATTAATTACATCTTGATCAGAAAAGCAAGAGTGGCTCGAACATGCGAAGAAGCGGGAATTTTAGTTGCTCGAGCGTTTGTTAGATGGCGAGGCGGGTATATCCGCACGACGAAAGCTACTTCGGATAGACGAGACGTTACACGACACATACATATGTGTGTAGCGAGCAATAATTTTTTACAAATCGTATAATATGATCGCGTCCCTTCGTGAAATACAAAGACTAAAAATATGGAAGAAGTCGTATTTTCATAAAAAAAGTCAGTGAAAGGCAAATGTTACAAATTTATATGACACTCGAACGCCGGCTCGAAGATTCAATATCCGCGACCAGTGTACGGGTCCGCACAATCAGTCAGCGAAATCCTCGTCATGCGCGAGACGGGATCGTTGACTCGAGTCGCTTCGTGATCGGTACACACTTGACGTCATGAAAAACTTTCTCTTCACGTCGAACTCGGTCAATGGCGCGCATTATTCAACGAGATTCGACGGCAAGATTGTGTCCGCCAGCTCGGCGTGTCGAGCGTGTCGGGATCGGCAGGTCTAGCGTGACTCACACGGCTCTCAATATTCCGCAATATACATGTATAAATAGTCCGTGTGTACAAATCGAATCGCGAATAATCGCGCGATACGCGCGTCGACGCGGATCCGTTGTCAATATCGTGAAACCTATCTTATAGAGTCTGTTCACAGTTTGGCCGAGAGATTAACACCCACATCCATATCCCAGATCTTCCGCACGATGGGGTCATTGTTTACGAAATCCTGCATCACGTGTATATCTGAAATGGAAACAAACGCGAATGCATATTGCGCTCGCAAAAGACACGTTCGATCATTAATGCATCCAGGAGTATTTCGTACACTCTAAATTTCTTGGGTTGGAATCTCACTTAGAAGCGAAAAGCGCCAGTATTTTTACGCGAAGCGGTAGTGAAAATACTGCCAATCTCAAAAGTGAATGTTCCAGTCGAGCTTACAGCGGATTCTGACTCAATGTGAGCGAACTCAACATGACTCAATATGATTCAGTCAGAGTGAATGCTGATCCATTGGGTTACAGTTATGTTAAAATGACTTTTTTTCAAAACAGGCAACACAGTGTTTCTTATTACAAAGTTAAAAGCATTCAAACGGCTCTCCTGAAAAGTTGTTGGTACTTAACATAAGCTAATGCGATAGCTTTATAACAATAAACACAGATCACGCTTTGTCGCTTTTTAAAAAATCACATCCGTGAGCTAATGGATCGACATGTCCTTGTAAAAGTGGAATACTACATCAGATTTGCCTGCTAATTTCGAGTAAAGATCTTCACTTAACAATTCAGAATGAAGTATTCACTCTATATAATTGAGAAATCAATTGAATTCGGGTGACTCTGTGTGGTCGTTTTCTAAGTGAAATTTCACTCCTAAAGATTCAGGGTGTACAACCACACCGACGTATCGAGCTTTTCCAGCTATCGCGTCGCTGATACGGTGTACGGTACGATAAAAACCCCCTCGTCTCGGCGGCGCGAAAGACTTCGGGTGCTTACAGTCTCCACGCCGCGTCCAAATTGTATAGTCGTTAGATCGTCAGAGTCAATTTAGATTTGTTTACTGACCGTCAGTGCGCAAGTATTTCTGCAGGGGCTTCCTCAGCACGAAGACCGGTACCGACAGGCTTATCCGCTGGATTCGCACGTTATTGCAGGCGGTCTGTATATTGGAAACGACCATTCCCAGCATTTTGCCGGTCGTCTGGCTGATTATCGGCCCGCCGCTGAAACCGCCCTGGATGCAACAGGTCGTTATGAGCATGTAGTCCAACGATTTCGAGACCACACCACTGGTCATGGTCGGCCAGGTAGACAGCATGAACGCGAATCCCACGGCGACCACTGGCTCGCCTGCGGACAAACGCCATTGGATACTCATTGGGGTAGACGCGTCGCGGGGTATTATCGTTAGGAAATCGCGAGGGAAGGCTTGGTCGAGGCTGGCTGCGGAGGTTCGTCGTGTGTTCGTCGTATAAAATCGAAAACGAAATCATTTAGTCTCAAGGTGTGGACAGTTTACAAGATTAAAATGGACTCAGACGGGCAATACGAATGCCTAAGCCTTTGTCCACAGCTTTGCTTTAAGACGTAAGCCGTAAGAAATTGACCAACTACAGTCGATTATTCTTCTAAAAATCGACTATGATTGGTCAATTTCTTACGGCTTACGTCTTAAGGCTCCTGGGGAGTCGCATCATCCATCTCTTTTTAATGACGTCAGAAGCGAGAAAACGCATGCTAAAAATTCCTGCAAAATACGTCGAGATAAACAGATATATCCACAAAACGACATTTGCGATCGATTAAGTACACCTCTAAAATACTCCGTACACTTTCCTTTTGTTCTAACAATCAACAGATAATTATAAAATAAATGTGACGTGCAATCGTCTTTTCTAACCTAATTTCCTCATTATCTTGTCATATTAATTTTCCGATTATCTATTGATTTTTAGAACAAAAGGAAAGTGTACGGAGTATTTTAGAGGTGTACTTAATCGATCGCAAATGTCGTTTTGTGGATATATCTGTTTATCTCGACGTATTTTGCAGGAATTTTTAGCATGCGTTTTCTCGCTTCTGACGTCATTAAAAAGAGATGGATGATGCGACTCCCCAGGAGCCTTAAAGCAAGGTTATGGGCAAAGGCTAACAGGGTCTTTTTATTTCTAAATATATAAAGAGTCATATTAATATTAATATTGACTCTCTCTCTCTCTTTCTCTCTCTTTTAGTATTCACAGTTTTAAGAAAAATAGACCTTTAAGACTATAGACCGTCGCTAAATATTGATTGTAATTTGATCCAACATCTTATTACCTTACTCTGGCACCCAAATGGGTCACTTTGCAAGTACAAATTTCGCAAAAAAGCGACGAATCCTTTACATCGACCTGACACAAGCGTACGAAAATTCGCGTCTCGATGGCCGTCGCGACAGTGCCAAACACTTCGATCGATTCCGGACCTATCCGACCAAGAATTTAATGTAATTTCATTTGAGCAATCGGTTCGAATATGTTGTTTTCGTGCCGTGACGCAGATACTCACGAAAAGTTTCGTGTCGTACGCGCGACACAGTCAATATAAAAGAGTAGGATCTTTTATAGAACGGCGGTATAATAGGCTTCTATTGCGATCGCGTAAATGGATATGACGACTCATGTGCGCTTCAACGAGTTAGAAGAAGGAGACCAAATATCAATTTCACCCCTAGCGACGATCAATTGACCCAATTTCTCGCAATTATAAGTTATTTCTGCCCCAACGCCTGAAGAAGGTCAATGTCCCACGCGTCCTAGGCGCCAGCAAATGTCTCGCTCGACACGCCGCCGTTGATGGGCATGCCGCTAATTTTTTTCCCATTACGAGAAAGCTACGGAAATGAGCTTCAATATACCATCCGCAATTCTGTCCAGCCGATAACCATTTCGAGCGACGCGCGTTATTACGGCCAACGCGTCACTTCTGAATCTTCGTGCGAAGTCACACGAAGCTCTGCTTCATTCCATGTCGGGCATTCGTGAAACACTCGCTCTTCTGTCTCAAACGATGAAGACATTGTGATCTCATGGAAAATATACATACATCTACTAACATAATAGCTTCAATGTGTATGCGGCTATCACTATTACTTTATTCTATTTTATTAGATTACTATTATTTTCTACGCGGAAAAAACTGCTATTACTTAAATCACTATTACTTTATTCTATTTTATTAGGTTACTATTATTTTCTACGCGGAAAAAACTGCTACGGTTGCTGCATCCACATTCTCTACGGTTAGAGAGAACATTTGTGATTTTAAGTTGAATAGATACTGTTTAAAAGTTACTGTTGCTATATACCGATCTGTACAGTTCTCACAGATAAAGTTTATAACACGTGATGTTCATTTACTGTATCCTTATATATGGTTGCCTCTTAATTAAAGGAATATTACTGTTTATCTATTGTGATTTGCAAGACAAAGGTTGAGAGACTCATAGAGATCACGTCATATAGTATTACTCAAACACGTCATATAATATTACTCAAGCACGTATAGACAGATAGCAAAGAATAAGAAAAAAATGATATTTTGTTGTGACAACCATATTTAGGCAAATGAAATCTTTTGCGTTTCCCCCGTGTAACCGTATATATTTATTTCCGGACATTAATGTGAAGTGTTTATCACATTGGAGAAACAGATATATTGTTTTGACACATGGCTTCTTGGGATAATCAATAAATTAATTTAATCTTTCGTATACATACTGTGGTTACCACCCATAACTAAAATTCAGCGCTCTGTACCTTTTAAGTACCGTAATAAATGGAACTAGTGTCGCCATCTAATTGTAGTTTGGGGTCTTAACTATGCTTTGATTCCACTCTGGTAGCAAAATAAGCGTTAGTTAGCTTCTGGCAGCCGTCTGAAGTGAAAATAGTGGAACTTTGATATTCAAAAAAAATACTTTTTCCAGAGATGACTTACGAGACAATTTTTTCCTTAAAGATAAATATTTCAACAATAAAATGCTAAATTTTTACTTAAAAATAATAAAAATTATAAGTTATAAATTTTTTTGCAAAAACTCACTTTTTTTTTAAATCGCGAAATATAATAATTTTTTTAATATGAAATTTCTTAAATTTTAATACCAAAAATATGTAAATACTTCCTATAAATATTAAAGTTAATCCATGAATTTTTTCAGAATTTTAGCATAAATATTTTAAAAGATACAGCTGTTTGAAAATTTCTATGGGTGGCAACCACCCAATGTATATGCGAAGGTTGAAAAAATAAGTGTGTATATGAAAGGTTAATAGACCAATCGATTAATAATAGATCAATAATGCGTACGATTAGAAAATTCTAATAACTTATAGTTGCACAATACATTTCAATTTATTTATTTCAATCTATTTGTAAGACTGTTACGCCAGTCTTCACGGATCTTTGTCACGCGCATACGATTGATACGACATTACCTGGCATGATTGGAGCATCGGAGAACTGTATGGGTTCCAACGATGGATCCAACTCGCTCGGTTTCACCTTCAATACAGCGACGTCGTAAGGGATATTTTTCGGACTTCTGAACAATAACTCTGCCGTCATGTTTAAATAGGGATTATCTTTACTGACTCTAAATACGATGACTGATATCTGCGTTTGTGGTGCCTGTAGCATATCAGAGTTTGCTTTGAGTAATTCCCGTAACTTTGCCGGAGACTTGCGCGTTGTTTTACATGATTTAACGAATATAAAGCATCAAGTTCACTTAGTCACCGAGCTCCTGTTTTTGTCTTTTTAATATTCTACTTTCTCTCTCAAGAATTTTCAAAATTTCGATTCAACTTTACCTGCTCGACGACGTGCGCACATGTCAAGAAAATTCCGGTGTCCTTATCCACAAGAATGCCTGTGCCTCTTTTATCCCCACAGGCAATTATCACGACGCTTTTATCTAGAACTTTTTTAAATAAAAATAGAAATAGGGGAATTCAGGAAATAGATATAAATGTTATCGCGTTGAGACATAACATAAGACAGCGTTTTACGAACCAGTTTGATTATCGTGGCGTATGGCAAACTTAGTGTAAGGTGTAGGAAAACTTTGCTGCAAAACTGTTAAGCACGGCGCGAGATTGGCGGCGAAGGTATACTGCACCCACTCGTTGCGACACCAGACCATCGACACGATTACCATCCCGATGAGGTTTCTGCTCTCGCTTGTAATAATATGACAATAATGTTCCGACATGAAAAAACTTAAAATACGATCGCGAAATAAATAAATGATTCAATTGGAGAGTGAAATTCTCCGTAGTCAAAAATTAGAAAAATTCCATAAAAAGCTTAGAATAGTATTTATGGTCTGATTCTATATTTGAGATCATCTTAAGGTCATCTTCAGATGCTGTAAGAATTGCTTCATGGATTACATAATATGTGAAAGTGAACTTAATATTTTTATGGCCACACTAATTTTGCAAAAATTTTTAACTGCCACCAATAGATTTCAAGAGCTCACTTACAAATAAACTTACCTAAAAGGTACACTTCGATTTCTTTTTAATTTGACACAATTGTAGAAGTACAAAAAATATTTAGGTCATATTTTGACATTTTACCACATTTTAAGTTTCACAGCCAATTTATAGCTTTTTAATGTCTTACTCCTATCATCAACAATTTCAACAAAAATGCATAAGAAATAAAATTAAATACAAAATATAGTTAAATAATTTTAACAAAATCGGCATAGCTGAGACACGAACCATTCTAAATTTCTTTAAACAGGATTCCAACCGAAATATTTCAAATCTGTGCTAAATTAGTCAAAAATTATTTGAATCTCGGTCAAATCGAGAAATTATTTGTATAAATAATTTTTTTCAACTTTTTACATGTTTTGTTTAAACATTTTATTATTTATACAAATAATTTTACACATTTGACTTCATATTCATAATCAACAAACCAAAAATATTTATATCTTCTCAAAGGTTAAAATGAAAAAATATGACCTAAATATTTTTTGTACTTCTACATTTGTGCCAAATTAGAAAGAAATCGGAGTGTAACTTTTAAGTAGGTTTATTTGTTCGATATATCTAGGGTTCTCAGTATTTGAAGAGACAAACATTCTCTCCTTACACATAAATCCGTACATTTAGCTTTATGTAGTTTCTGTAAAATTTCACACCGAGTATAAGTTCGGGTCTACAATAGATAAGGCCCATAATTACTGTCAAAAAGCATTTTCTGTGCTGTTTTAACAGGATCTGGTCGATTGGTCTTGGAATCTGGTCGATTCGTTTAAAGCTTAAGAATTATGATTTCAGCAGTAAGAAACATTTTCTGAAAATTGGCCGTAAGAAACATTGGCCGAAAATTACGCCACAGTTTTGAGCGCAAGGCTAAAGGCTCACCATATTTATTGTAGACCCGAACTAAGAGCTAGCGCTATGAGAAACGCAAGGTCCACTAATCCGATAGTCGTCAATTATGTAATTACCTGTCCGGTGAAGTTATGTAAACAGGACTACCTTCGCTATTCGGGAACACATATGTGTCCAACATGATGATGCCGCCGATAACGTTGCTGACAATGCCCCGCGCTATCGAGTTCATAAACCAGACATTACCGAACGGCGACGAGATGATTTCTACAGGCGTGCCCCGGGTGAAGCTCAGCGGCAAGATTTGTTCCTGCAGGCACTGCAGAGCTTGTTCACCTGACATTTTAAACGAGTGTCTCGAGTTAACACGAATCAGCAGGAAGAGCATCCGGCGTAGTTGGACCGACTTGGATATTTCGCAATCGTGGAAGTTCCACGTGTCGAAGAACGTCTTGAAGGTGTGCATGATAAGCGGACATAACCAGGCGAAGGTGACCTTGCCGATGTGATTTTGGTAACCCGTCTTCAGCTGGCGCACCACCGAAAATTCCAATTCTTCCGCGAGCTCCTCGGGCACGCTCGTCAGCTGTCCTGGTACCATGTTCTCGATGAACTTCGATATTTCCTCGGACTCGAGAATGGTCGATTCCAGCATAGTGCCATGCGTAAGTACCCAATCCTGTGAGATCGAGATCGCGGAACTTTTCGGAGTGGGATATAGCCACGCGTAATCCGTCAAGTGAACCAGAAGCGCGTTGCCTGTCCATGCGTCCGAAACGAATTCGCACATCCTTCTTTCTCAATGATGCTGGAACGTCCCGTCCGTAAAAAGAGATCGTTTCGATCAGCCAGCCGCTTTTTGAACTATCGATAGAAAGGAAAGAAGGAAGATAAGTATACATCGCAATATAATGCGCGCGTTCCTTGAGGGAGATTCTTGTCATTTTGTCAACAATACTTTACAAGGTTGAACACAACGAAATTATGGATATTTATGGACAAATGTAGACAAATCGTGGACAAATTATTTACAGTCGAAAATGAAGCGTTTACGGAGCTGACTGGGGATTCTTCCTGAAATAATCAGCTCTTAGCAAGCTAACGACCGCTTCATTTTCAACTAGAATGGTATGTCGGTTTCGGAAAAATTCGTGTTTCAAAGTGTTAATTTCATAGATGTTAATTGTCTGTTTCTTTTCCGTTTAAATAATCCGTTTCTGCTTGATGGACAAGAGAGTATTATATCTTCAATGTATACACTGAGGGACAAAATAATGGATTTAACTAAAATAAATTATGGTTCTTTTTACCTCAACCATACTTTTTATAGTAAAATGCTAGTAATGATATGTATATTATGACTATACATTATAATAAAATTTAATAAAAAAAGTTTTCGTGAACATAATTTATAGTAATTATTTCTCTATGTGATTTTAGTTACAAATACCAGATTTTTTTCCTCAGTGTGTATGTATGAGACATATCTATTTATATAATTATAATAGTCTATCTATATAACATATTATTATCATCGATAAACATTTTTTACAATATGATAACTGCAGAATGAAATCACGCACTGTCAAGTGTTAAGAAAGTGATGAATAACGACGTCTTCGACTTCATCTTTAAAATTAAATCTACGCGTATATCTAAACTCTGGACTCTACTTTGCATTTCATTACAGTGGAGAATTGCATTTATAGACGATTGCGGAGCAGCACATCAGATCGTAAAGAAAAACCGATCGTTCCGCGAATGTACTCGTTGCTCTGTAATTACTGCAAATCGCGAAGCTCTGGCGGTGGAAATTTCACGTGAACATCGTCCTCCCGTCGGGAACCATGTCGTTAGGACCGTTGACGCGCGGACGATGACATGTAATAAAGTAACTCCCGGTGCCTGTCCGCCCCCGGTCCGGTCCGGTCGCGGAGCACGACGTCACGGCGCGCGCGGTGTCGCACCTGTTACACCTAAAGCGACAGAGCGCGTTTCGCAACGCAGTGAATATTGAGCGATCAAACATCGGGACACTCTTTCTCGCTCCCTCGCAGGAGCGCAGCTGCCACATTCGTCGCGCGATTCAACGGTGAAAGGGTTAATTGTCGCGAGCGCGGCACCGTGAAATCGCGGCGCTCGCGCGATAAAAGGGCCCCGCGACGGAGGAGGGGCAGGGAAGGAAAAGGACAGAGGGAAGCGAGAGGAGCGGAGAGGAAAGAACGAAAGAAAAAAAAGATACACACACGCGCTCGCAGCCACCGTCGCGTAATCGTGAGTCACCGCGAGCGCGAGTTGTGCAAGGAGAACGAGATTAGGAATGGAAGAGCGGAGAGGAGTTAAGAGTGACTTGCGTTCGTCCGTCTGTCCCGTCCGCTCTCTCGGTTGTCTCCCGACAGCTATATTATCCCCCTGTAAACACCATGTGATTACGGCCGCATACCTGAACGATAACATAAGCGGCTGGAAAAAGGCGGCGGACTTCGGCGACCCTCCTGGCCTCCGGATGACGGAGTTTTGGAATATCGTTCGTTCAAAGGAGAATATCGTCCTGTAAGAAGTCACTTGCGCGAAACGCGGCTTGCTTTCTCCCTGTTTTCTTTTGTCGTGATCATATGTCGCTCGTTACTAGATAATATTCTCTTATTGTTTTCTTATTACAATAATAATTTATATAAGGATAATGTTTCGTATAATATAATTTATATAAAGAAAATATATTATATATATATAAAGGTTATATATATGTATGTATATATATAACAATTTATATAAAGATAATAGTTCATATGATATTTTCTTGTTAGTTCTGTTATATTATTCGCCGCGTCACGTGGAAGACTGATATTATTCAGCGTTATTATCCATTTGATAAGACACGAAATTAAATCGGTCCAATGAATATAGAAAACAATTCGTCTTAGATCAAAAAGAAAAATTGCACGAAATACTCGGTTCACAACATCGAAGCACGTCGGTCTTTACGAGTCGCAAATCGGAGGTGAACTAGTCTTCTGGGCGCTTTAAGAACGGACTCTGTAAAAGAGGACTGTTGTGATGATACGCGGCAATGAGGAACTTCGACATTGATTATACAAACAAGAGATTTGTCTTCTGTAAGCGAAGCGACCGCTTTCCTGATGTTTACGCAGACTTGACACTACCATGTGTGTTTGTAGTGTTCACGTTCGCATGCTGTGCGAACTAAATTGGTCGAATGAAATTTCACGTTATTCGCAAGAGGAGCTTTTTGTACGTCAGGAATATTCCAGAATTGTTCAATCTCGAGGAGAAACGTTCCACAAGTCGGCCAGAAATTGCACAGCGTTCGTCGGTGTGCCGAGCAAAGTGGAGCACACCGTGCTTCAGGAAAGTTCTCACAGGATAATAAAAAAAAGCGCTGAAAATAGTCGTGACTCAGCAGAGGCCGCGACATGTGCCCAATCGTGACAGAAAAAAAGAGAGCGAGCGCGAAAACGCCGTCCACGGAGGACGAGAAAGAGAGAGAGAGAGAGAGAGAGAGAGAGAGAGAGAGAGAGAGAGAGAGAGAGAGAGAGAGAGAGAGAGAGAGAGAGAGAGAGAGAGAGAGAGAGAGAGAGAGAGAGAGAGAGAGAGAGAGAGAGAGAGAGAGAGAGAGAGAGAGAGAGAGAGAGAGAGAGAGAGAGAGAGAGAGAGAGAGAGAGAGAGAGAGAGAGAGAGAGAGAGAGAGAGAGAGAGAGAGAGAGAGAGAGAGAGAGAGAGAGAGAGAGAGAGAGAGAGAGAGAGAGAGAGAGAGAGAGAGAGAGAGAGAGAGAGAGAGAGAGAGAGAGAGAGAGAGAGAGAGAGAGAGAGAGAGAGAGAGAGAGAGAGAGAGAGAGAGAGGGAGAGAGCGCGCGCGTGCAATACGTCACACTTTTACAGTGTGACGTATTAGAAGGTCTGGTTTTCCTGGAACAGTGGACGCTACTACGTAGTAGCGAACTGGTTTGACGGCACGTGTCACAAAAATGAGAAAAAAAGTAGCCCCAGAGGGGGCGGATAGGACACGCGGGAGTCGAGAATAAACGCGAGCTCCGCTCGAGACGGGGTCGTTTGAAAAGTCCACGACGAGATGATGATACATAATGCGTCTATGGAATATACTCGGACGTAGAAGAAGTATGACGATTATGGACCTTCAGATGGCGGTGAAACGATCCTATGAGGTTAAACACGCGCGCGCGAGATTGCGCATGTGTGTGTGTATGCATGTGTGTGTATGTAGGTCTGTGTGGACTGCGTCATGTGCTATTCTAGAGCCAAATTGTGCGGGCCCGAACACGTGTTTTTGCCTATTTGTGGCCCAAGTAGTAATAGCTATCCTGAGGTTATTCAGGTAACAAAACGGACACGAAAATTTCAAGGTGACGCTTAACACACCGAACAAACTTCACTTTTAAAAAGACTATCAAAGGGCTATTAAAAATATGATCTTTATTGCGTCCGGTAATAAAGTTTTGACACCGCGACTAATTTATATATTTAACGATCAATGTATGTTCTCTCGGTTTTCAATTGCACCAAATTTTTTCTAGCCTAACAAAATCTGAAAAATCTCATGACACAACTGTGAAATTTTTTTAATAATTTATCAGTAAAATGTTGATTAAGCAATGTAATTACTGCAGTGTATATATATACACATGTACCGATATTGAGATATTTATGAATTTGGAGATTTTTACTGAGCTGTGTAATAAGTATAATTTCGGATCTTTCAGATATTTTTTTATATAAAATTTTCAGATATATATATATATATATATATATATATATATATATATATATATATATATATATATATATATATATATTTT